TCTGATTGTGTATGTATTGTCTTTTGCAATCCTTTCATCCTCCCTTGCCCATGTCACCACTTCAAATGGATCTAAGTTGTAACGAAGCTTTACATCCACATTAGATTTTAACATTTATTCTGAGTTTTTGGCCTTTCAGTTAAAACAAAATAGATAACAAAAGATGTATATCTTTTTTCCTCAGTTTCTTCTTTAAATAATTTTATAATATTTTAAACTTGATACAGATTAAATTTAAAAGTGGTAATTTCTCATTTTCACTTTTATAGTAAAATTTAATATTAATTAGAATGATTTCCATTTTAGTCTAACCCTAACATTAAGGCATTAATTATTATAACCAAGGTTTGTTGTCAAGTTTTTTGAATTCTCATATACTTGTATTTTGATTGGTCATTGCAGCTTATGTAACAGCGTTTCCCCTATCGAGGGGTGTTTGGTCAATTTAAACCTTTTAAAACTCTTTATTCTACATTCAACAACATCACTTGATAAGACACCAGAAGTGTTGAAACAAAATGGCTATTTTTGTAGTGATTTTGTAACATATTTATGTTATAATTTTCAAATAAATTATATTTGCTCTACTCTGTATTGACGACTCTTTTAAGAACAGTATTTTTGGTTATTGGAATTTATTCCGTGTACACCAATTCTATACTTGGAGATACATATATAATATAATTACGAAGCATGATCAATATTAGAAATAGAGTATTTATAGATATAAACAGTCACTATGTAGTGTTGATTTCTGTTAGTTTCATACTTGAATATGATTTTCAGAGCATGTCTTCGTTTGAAGATCATATTGATTCTTTTGGTGTTTGCTTAAAATTTTCTATATTTCCGTTTAAGAGCACTCCATAGTGGGTGTAAAACATTTGTCAACATAAACATAGTGGACATAGAAATCAACACTGCATAGTGACTAGCAGTTTCATGCCTTAAGAGATCAGCACACATATACATAGCTGACCATCATTAGTAAAATATAGATTGCTTTTCTTTGAAAAGATAATAAAAGAGATAAAAAGAATTGTAATTAGGGTAACACTCTATCTGCCATACTGTAACTTCCTTTCTAACAGTGATACAACCATATAGATGATTTTTTTTCAAGCTTCTGAAATATTTCTCATGGCTTATAAATAAAAGGTCCAGAACATTGTGCCCAATCGTGAGTAAAATTTTTAGTAATGAGAACAAAAAAAAAGTGGGGGTTGGTGTTTTCTAATGTTTGAACAAACTATACTTTTTTTTTTTTTTTTTTTTTTTTTTTTTTTTTTGACTTGTATTTCCTAAATGTTTGACACAATGGAAGATATTTTATATGATAAATCTGATATCTCTTTTTGGCAAGTGGGTGGTGGGTAGGGTTTGAAGTCAGCTTTGAACTAAGATTGATTTATGGTAGTAACAATTTATAATTCAGAATCCTCTTAATTTGTTCATTAGATCACTGAGAATTAGTTGGTAAATTGTCATTTAGATATTAATTTCTGCATTTCATGATTACTAGAATTTCATGATAATGTTATATCCATGAAGTCGGAAAGTTGGCAAAAACAAATGTGGTATTAAACTTTAAGCTATTAAGCTTTAACAATTTTCATGAAAATTAAAAATCTGTTCCTTCATAAAATAATCAACTCATTTTATTCTATATAACTTTTTATAATGGTGGGGAGAAAATATTTCAGATGTAAATATTTATATTATTTTTGTAGAACAGTTGATTTTAAAAAAAAAAATTTGATAAGTTTAAAATACTTTAAAGCTAATTTCTCTTTCTATTTTTTATTATTTTTTATTTTTAATTTTTTTTTTTTTTTTTTAAATACTCATGTTGCTGTAAGCAGGTCTTTTCAAAATGTTACCTTTTTTGCCCTCACTTTTTCAAACATATTCAAAGCTATTTTTCGTTAAAATTTCTTCTATTATCATCATTATCTAGTTTCTGCTTTCTTTGTTCTTGTAGCAAGGTCTTTTTGTAAATACTTCTAAAATGTCCTCACTAGAAAAATAACTAAATTTGTAATTTAGTCATAAATGTATAAGGTCTGTATTGATGCTCACTAATAGTTTATAATATACTTACATGCAGAAGTCATGAGATTGCTACCTAGTATCATATACGATCTCTTTTTAGCTGATATAAATCTGGACATTTGCAAATAGTTTTCTTTATAATGTACTAAATGTTGCATGTTTGTTGCAATAAATTATACACTGTAGAAAGATTTTTTTGTAAGCACAATATCATTAAAATGGTCCAACTCAAAGAATAATGCAATTTCCAGTTTGGTTTGTAACTGATGACAATTTTTAATTATCTCCTTTCTGTTCAGACTAGTATCCTCATCTTGGTTGTTGGACTCGCAATGCTTCAGCCATTGCACCCTTTGACCTTCTTCGGGCATTTTTTGTACTTGGTAATCTTCTCAGAATTTTGGAGCAAATACATTTATTCACTGTGTGTTCATTGTTCCCTGGTAGTTATGAGTTCAATCCCTGAGTGTGAAAAAAAAACACTTATTCTCTAGTTCAGTGGAAGGAAAAGATAAGTGGTACAAAGGTGGATAAGATTGAGTTTTTACTGATGTGAGTTATTTCCTAAGCATGTTTAAAAGTTCAATAAGGTTGAGTATAACAGATACCTGAAGAAGGCCAGAGGGTATAATGGCTGAAACAGTATGAATAGAAGAACCAAGATGAGTATACTAGGCCAAATGGCATGGTATATTATAATCACAGGATTAAGCAAATGTAGATCATTGTTAATTCTTACAATATCATTTGTATTAATTTTTGACCATTGACAATCCCTCTTTTACTTAATTACAATACACAACATAAGATTAAGTGACAAAGCTTATGAAATGACAATCTTGTGATTTTTTTTTTTTTTTTTTTTTTTTTTTTTAACCATTTGAAATATTTTAGTGACTAAGCAGAATAGAGTAATGGTAAAGACAGTGGACGGGAAAAATAAAAGTTGAAGCATTAGATATATGCCAACTTGAAATTGAGTGTAAAAATGCAAGTTTGACTCTTTAATTCCCACCTGTATGACTAGAATTTGCTTTGTCAATGAATGTGAATAAACCTTTTGACATATCCTACCTGTGATATCCACAAATTACATAATGTTTGGAAGAATATTGTTAAAAGTATGATTTAATTGGGATCTAGAAAGAAAGAAAAGGATCCTTTCCCAATTTTTAGCTTCAGCAAGCTTTCTAAAGTAATGATAATTCTGCTTGAGTTGATTGGCTATCAATTATGAACTAATTTTCTTTCTGAGAACCAATCTTCTTGCTTTTGGCATCTGTTCAGATTCCTGAAATCAATAATCCAAAGAAATCAAGATGCCTTAATGAGATTTTCTCATCAATATATTTTTTATCATGTTTGATTGGTGATCTCCTAAATTTAAACCTATTTCTGCAGATGAATATGCTAAACTGAATTTTAATCTCTCTGAAAATAGAATCTAGGACATCTTCTATTTTTGCTTACACCTTCCAATGTTAATTTGTCTTTGTTGCCAAAATACTGCATATATTCATATAAGTTGCACTTGTTATGACTGTTTAGTAATCATTCCTTAATCTGACACTAGACAACTATTGTAAAGTACCCTATGAGGATCAAACTTATTATATTAGCCATGCCTAACAGACTAGATAATTTAGGTCATACATTTTGTTGCAAGGACATCAGATGTAACTTAGATATGAAGAAATATACAATGCAATAAATATAAGCATTTATTAGTTGTGTCATAATAGATGGTAAACATGCAGGTGCTGTTGCTTCATTCATAAGACCAGGTAAAAACCAAATCCATATCTTATTGTGGGGGTAAAAACTCTATTTATTCTACTCAGTGACAATAAAATCCAACTTTAACTAAACTTCAAATGTCATTACCCTAACCAGCATTTAGTCATCTACAATTTTGTTGCTTTGTCAGACCACAAGCATTAAACATTTCGGATAATGATATGGTGCCAATATCATTTTGTGTAATTTTTGGATTTTTGCATATCCAAAAAAGTTTACTTTCCATGATTTGGATTTGTCATCATTGAAACAGGGTCTAGTTCTGGGCCCATGACCTGTAGAGTAATTGGTCATGCTTAAGTGTAATCAACAAAATACTCAACGGAATTGACAAAGTTCTCAAACAATAAGAAAAGAGAAAAAGAACCAGGCCAAATGATACTAAGCAACAGTATAAGACAAAAGTTTCACAAAGTAAGAATGGTGTTTACATGCAAAAGGGATACAGTCAATTGATTGCAGCATTCTAACTTTAAAACAACAAAAAACAAAAATATGGCTGATGAGCCTGAGAAGTGAGCCATTTTTATTTGTTAGGAAGAAATCCCAGTATGCATCTATAGGATTTGTCTATAAATTTGTGAAGGGGGATGTTTTTAGCAATCATTCCCACAGATTGAAACCAATAACTAAAGAATAAAAAGTACAAGCAGATTTTTTCACAAATATTGTTTTTATTTTTTTTTGTAGAAATTTTTCTTGACTTCACATGATATTTATAAAAGCATAAGTGCAAATGATGTGATTTCTTTTATTTAAATAAAATTTATTTCTACTATATACCATAGAATGTCCACAGATTCTATTTAGACATTGCCTCTTTTTATAAGTCCTAAACATTTTCTTAGATTTTGTTTTTGTGATTTCAAAACACTGATTCAAACTGTTTAATCAGTCATGCAATTTTCAGTAAAAGTAGGGAAAAAAAACTTCTCCATCTGAAGTACGATAGAATTGTGTGTAAATAGAATAGTTGGAATGATCAGTTGGAAACCAGATGATGCCATTTTTGCATTAAAAAGAATTTATTCGCACAGTTTTGCTTCTAGCACATGTGAAAAAGAAATTAACACATCAATGATGCACATTGCCTTATTGTAAACATTGAATTGTTGAATATATTTGCACATATTTTTCTCAAAAACCAATGAATGTGTTCAGTATGCATGACATGTGAGTGAATAGTGTTGATTTGACTTGGAGTGAATGTTAAATTCAGTGGCATGTTTAAATTATTGTTAACTGAAGCATGAGATGAAAATGAAAGTCACTAATTAAAGCGACTATTTCGTTTGAAGAAGACTAGAATATTCTGGATTTTTTTTTTTTTTTCTCGTGAAATTGAATATTTAAAATGTCACATGCTACATTTGTTCGACAACAATTAATGACACTTTAGCTAATCATAAACTCATTTTTTTTAGTGCAATAAGTGGTTGTGTAGGAGGTATCTCTCTCTCCCTCTCTCTTGTCGTCTCTCTCTCTCTCCCTCTCTCTTGTCGTCTCTCTCTCTCTCCCTCTCTCTTGTCGTCTCTCTCTCTCTCCTCTCTCTTGTCGCTCTCTCTCTCCCCTCTCTCTTGTCGTCTCTCTCTCTCTCTCCCTCTCTCTTGTCGTCTCTCTCTCTCTCCCTCTCTCTTGTCGTCTCTCTCTCTCTCCCTCTCTCTTGTCGTCTCTCTCTCTCTCTCTCCCTCTCTTGTCGTCTCTCTCTCTCTCTCTCCCTCTCTCGTCTCTCTCTCTCTCTCTCCTCTCTCTCTCTCTCTCTCTCTTGTCGTCTCTCTCTCTCTCTCTTGTCGTCTCTCTCTCTCTCCCTCTCTCTTGTCGTCTCTCTCTCTCTCCCTCTCTCTTGTCGTCTCTCTCTCTCCCCTCTCTCTTGTCGTCTCTCTCTCTCCCTCTCTCTCTTGTCGTCTCTCTCTCCCTCTCTCTCTCTTGTCTCTCTCTCTCTCTCTCTCTCTTCTCTCTTCTCTCTCTCCCTCTCTCTCTCTCTCTCTCCCCTCTCTTGTCGTCTCTCTCTCTCCCTCTCTCTTGTCGTCCTCTCTCTCTCCCTCTCTTGTCGTCTCTCTCTCCTCTCCCTCTCTTGTCGTCTCTCTCTCTCTCTCCCTCTCTCTTGTCGTCTCTCTCTCTCCTCTCTCTTGTCCCTCTCTCTCCTCTCTCTGTCTCTCTCTCTCTCCCCTCTCTCTTTGTCTCTCTCTCTCCCCTCTCTCTTGTCGTCTCTCTCTCTCTCCCTCTCTCTTGTTGTCTCTCTCTCTCTCTCTCTTGTCGTCTCTCTCTCTCGTCGTCTATCTCTCTCTCTCGTCGTCCCTCTCCCTCTCTCTCTCTCTCTTGTCGTCCCCCTCTCTCTCGCCGTCTCTCTCACCATACTTAGTTGGTAACAAGGGAAAGCAATACAAAATAGATAGAAAACTAGTTATCCTTAGACCAAACTACCTTTGTAGATTAAGGAATGGGTTCACTTTAAAATTCCCTGTAAGTTACCCAGACTGACACATTTGACAAAGGCAGATGGAAATTGATAAAACATTGATAACAACAAAGATGAGGTTGACTAAATTAATTTGATGCAATATTTCTGCTCAATGCATTCAGTCATCTTGCATGAAAACAAAATCCAACAAGTGTGCACTACATGTCTGGGAATTGGTGTAGCGTACTGGTGCCAACAAAATTTGAAATATGCACAGGAAGGGTGGCATCACCTCCCACCCAAAGGGTCTTTCCCACACGGCATTAGCTTTGGCAGGAAAAAATATTTGGATACATTTTGAATGCACCTCATATGCAAATTCAAATGAATTTGTCAAAAAACATGCAAGAGTCCTGCAATCCAAAACTATTTTATATCAAAATGTTTTTAGTCACATTTATGATTTGTCTGTTATCAATTTGTGGTATTTCAAAGACATGGTAGGTGTATAATGAGTGGAACTGAAAAGTTTTGAGTTGCTGCTTTATAAATTTCATGTTATCTGATAATCTGTTTAGATTATGGAATCCTGGATCTTGAAATTGTATCAGTAAATGTTTAACATTGCCAAAGTCAGTATCTAGTTAAGAAACCTTTTTATAAATGATTAGATTAAGCTGTGTTCTTTCGTATTCTGGGTTTGAGAACCTGAAGCGGTTTGACAACACATTTGCTAAAGTCTTTTGACTAGAGAATTTATAGACGCATCTACTTTTATCTGCTTTTTTTTTTTTTTTTTAAATCCTTAACATAAAATTATAGACATTGTGTTGGACAAATAAACAAATTAATGAATATTGGATATCAAAACCTTAATTTTTAATTTAAAATGATAGCTGCTTGGTAATCATACCTTCAAAATCAAATTTTCAATAGCGAATATTTACCTCGTTTTTCATGAAAACTTACCTCGATCATTTAAGGAAGTAGTAACAGTTGAAGAAAAAAATTTTTTTTTTTAATTTTTTTAAGTAATGAACACTAGACCTCACTACAACCAGTTCTCAACACTATGAAGATATCCCTCTAAGATTGGGGTGGAGGTGGATGTTATTTGAGAAACTAGAACAGAATGTGTGTGATATCAAGTAACTTGAGATATTACTGGGTCACCCACTGATGAAAGAACTCCCTAGTAATGGCTTGTGGGATAATCTTTCTTCAATAGCAGTAGCTTGAAAGTTGTGATGTAAACTTTTTTTATTTTTTTTTTTATTTTATTTAGACAAAAAAAAAAAAAAAAAATTATCCTCTCTTTAAAATCCATTACTTACATTCTAGAATGTAAGTAATGGATTTTAAAGAGAGGATAATTTTTTTTTTTTTTTTTTTTTTTGACAACTCCATATCCTATCAGTGATATTTATGATTGTGTGTGTAAAAACTTGTTCAGGCACACTATGCAGAAACTGGAAATCAACTGTCATACTTACAACTCAAAGGAATCTTATCTTTTTAACCTGCATAACTCTTAAGCACATTAATTTGTGATCAGTTTTTTATACCATGTGTATTGAGTAGAATAGCATTAAAATGGCAGCAAGTCTTCTCGGTACTCTTGCACTCTCTTCGTTGTTCTTATTTCTTAAAAAACTTAATTTTCTAAAGATAGTAAATGTAAGCAACATTGAAACTGGTTTTAATGAAATGTTAAATAGTCTGGTTTTAATTCATTCTCATCTTATAATTCAGGTTTACTATGTTTTAACTAATATTAAGTTTAGTGAACCTAACACCAATAACAACATGCTTTTAAATTGGTAATGTGTTATGTTATTTGCTGTTTAAATAAATTTGGTTGTAATTTTTAAGTTGATTTATATTGCAACTACAATTGTTAGTAAATATCATATGTAAATAATTAAAGACAAAAATAAGGATTAGGTATTTGGTTAGAAGAAAAGCTGTATATAGTTCAACTCAAATGGCTGCAACTGGTGGTCTAATGGATAAGGCAGCTGTTGCCTTAAGTTTCACAAGGAAAGTGGAATCTAATTCAAAGTCTTATAAAAGGTTTAGAAGCATCTGATAATTGCAATAAAAATAACTGAAATTAAGATGAAAGAATATGTATTATTGACAAGTTAATTTTCTCATTCTGATACTCTTCCAGACTTTATATCCTTGCAAGGTATTATTTTTAATGTCCATTAATAGAAAAGGCCTAGGTGTTTATAATAAACTGCCTTTTTCTTTTCTTTTTTTTTTCTTTTTAAGTCAGTAGACTTTGGCTATGGCTTACTTATTTTTGTTTCTGGTTTTATTATAAAACTTATACTTATTCCCAGATATACAAAAAACTTAGAACACGCAATTATACATAATGCAATAATTCCAATTCAAGTTATATTTATTGCATGAGCAAGCCCAAATCTTTGGTATATATTTATCTACTGTTTTATGCAATATAGTCTTTAAAAATATTTTTAAAATGCTGAGAAAGGTGGTATTGAAAAGTTTTTGACTTACCCTACTTCCCAAAATCTATTCAAATGAACAAACATTACAATTTTTTTAAATTTATTTTTTATTAATCTTCATCTTTTTTCATCTTTTTTTCTAAATCTTTTCTTGCTTAGGTTGAGAACTTTTAAGCACCCTTTTGTAATGTCTTTTATTTTTCTACAATGAAGTATTATCTAAAAAATGATACAAAAGGATATACTAGGTAAGATGTATTTTACGCCTATAATAATTTTTGCTCAAGTGTGTGTGTGTTCAGTGTTATTTATATAACAATAAGTAATGACTTTGTTGTTACCTGAGTTTTCTGCCCAAACTTATCAAATATTTATTTTGTACATGGACTACAAAGCTTTCTACTTATGTATCCAGGTTTTGCAATGAAAACTATTCTGGTGTAAATAAATAGCTACAAGAATCATGGACAGTATATGATGACATTGGTGTGGGTGGAGCAAGGCAAAGTGAAGAAATGCTACTGTTGTTTGCTTAATTCCTGTGATATTTGGTGTTTTATCACTTGCTTATCAATCCTTAACCCCGCCCCTTTGCTCCATTATTGCTACCACTTTAATTTCTGTCTCTATCAACATTTGGTAGCACCAACTTCCTCTCAAGTGATAGCTGTTAAACAGATATATGAACTACAGCCCTGTAGTAAAAATGCTAGCGATATTCTTGGATCTGGTTCACTGTCTGATTTTTTTTTTTTTTTTTTTTTTTTTTTTTGCAAGCCATCCAACTCTTTTTAGGAAAAAAAAAATTAGTATTTCTATTTTTGCCTTATGTTTAGTCAAGAATAATTAAGCTAACAATTCAACCATCTTCACTCTCTTTTTCTTTTTTTCTTTTTCTTTTTTTTTTTTTTTTTTCTTTTTTTTTTTTTCTTTTTTCTTTTTTCTTTCTTTTTTTTTTTTTCTTTCTTTTTTTCTTTTTTTTTCTTTTTTTTTTTCTTTTTTTTTTTTCTTTTTTTCTTTCTTTTTTTTTTTCTTTCTCTTTTTTTTTTTCTTTTCTTTTTTTTTTTTTTTTTTTTTTTTCTTTTTTTTTTTTTTTTTTTTTTTTTCTTTTTTTTTTCTTTTCTTTCTTTTCTTACTCTGACTGAATACAATGTAATGTTAGATTCCATCTCCTCTACACTCTGTTAAAAACAAAATACTCAATATCTACACACATATTAATTTATTACTAGAAGTTTCTTGTGGGGGGAGGAAAAAAACTACTAATCTTCCATTTTCTCTTTTTTTTTTTTTTTTTTTTTTTTAATCAAAAGATTTTACTCACATTCTTTTTAATTAGGTTAATTTCTAGTGATTTTTTAAATGGGTCAGAGAACAAAAATTATAGTACCAGTTACTATTCAATAATTAGTGAAATTTCACCATGAAAATAATTATGTCCATGCTTAGAATATTGCTACCACATATGGCTCCATCTCTCTGCTATTTACCTTGAGTTCCTTGATAGAATCCAAATAAGAATCTGCAATATTATTGGTCTTGATCTGGCAGCTCAGCTTCAATCACTTTCCCACTGTCATAAAGTTGCCTCACTATATCTTTTCTATAAATACTTTCATGGTAATTGTTCAAATGAGCTCTTCACTATGGTACCTAGACTTTATGAATTTAAGTGCAGCACTAGATTGGCATTGAGATCTCATCAATCTACAGTTGGGCTGGCTAATATGTAACCATAAATTCTATACTAACAGTGTCCTTTCTCACACTTTTCACTTGTAGAACTCTTTAAATGCAATGTCAATTAGATATTTCTAATGTCCTCCTGATTACTCTTTCCTCTTTCCATTAATGTTTCTGTTCTTCCACACCCTGTAACACCTTGTGTCTTAGTGGCTTTATTTCCTTGCATAGAGTGATACACTTTTTTTTTTTTTTTTTTTTTTTTTTTTTTTTTAGAAACGTTCCAACAAAGTTTTAGGTAATTTTTCTAAAACTATCAAGAACAATCATGAATTACAAAAAATGATAAAAATCCTCTTTTTATTAAGCATTCCGATTGAGAACTCATTGAGAGATTTCATAATTGGATATTAAAATCTCTTCACATGTTAAGGGTTTAATTTAGTACTTTAAATTTCCCAGTAGGTATGGTAGTATAAAATGAAATGTGACATGAGTACCAATGACAAGACTACCAATGTACTAACTTCCAAGTACCTGTGAGGGGTTCATTAATAAGAGTCAAAATTTGAATGTGCACTTTCAGAAAAATTGTATAGACAACAAATTTTATAAGTCACAGGAATTAGATCCCCCCCCTCCCCGACTCTCATTGACTGTTCAATAGTTACCAGAACAATGTTAGTCAATTGAATATTAGCTTTTGTCAAGTGAGGATGAAGTACAGATGCTGCCAATTAAGATGATGCGAAAGGTTTATTTCATTAGCAAACTATAAAACCCCAAGAAAATTTCTGATCCTGCCCCTTAGAAATATCCATATATAATAAATTTTTTATTGTTCTACCAATGCCTCTATAGACCACACATGTAAGCATTCCAATGTTGTGTAATGGTTACCAATCTTGTCTCACTAGATCAATTACTGCTCAGTATTGAGTCTGATCCTCATTGGATGCTCCATACTTTCAGCCTTGTGCCACATTTAAACTACGTGCTTAATAAATCACTATAAACCACACACCTTCCTTCTTCCACCAGCCACAATCACCACATTGTTGCAACTCTGTTGACTTATTCTGCTTTTTTTTTTTTTTTTTTTTTTTTTTTTTTTTTTATTTCTGCAAAGATTATCTATTTGTGTTTGCTATTCATTTCTTGTTTTGTTTAAACATACTTTTTTCTTAATTTTTCTGTTTCTCTGAGTTTTGCTGTCAATGGAGACTGTAGGTAACAACAAATAGTTCAAGAGAAGTTTAGCAAACCTGACACCAATTTTTAACTACCTTCTCTCTTTAGCAATATTTATTATTTCAAAAAGCTTTGTTTACAATTGGAATAAAATGTAAACATATGAATGTGAATTTATACATTTGCTTTGTTTTTGAGAATTGTCAACAAAAATAATAAACTCTATTTAATTATTGGATTGTTTATTTACATGATTTGTTATATTTATTGGAATGGTTGAAAAAACATTGGTTAATTGCCAATTGATTCAAACTTTATAAAAATTGTAAATAATAAGGATTTCTTTATAGTTGGTTCACATATTTTAATTTAGTAAATGTTGATAAATTTATGAATAAAAATTATTTCTTTATAAATTGGTAAGTAATAAATATTGCATTGCATGGGTTTTAATACAGTTGTATTAATTTTAGAATAATGTTGTAAATATAAAATTTATTCTTGTAAATAAACAATCTAAAAGTGTTTATTTTTGTTGTAAATTCTCAAGAACTAAACAAAATGTATAAATTCACTTTCATTATGTTTTTAGGTTTTATTATAATTCTAATCATCGCTTTTTAAAACAATATTACTGAAGAGTGAAGGTAATTTAAAAAGCTGGATCATGAGGGGGAACCATTCTTTAGCCACATTGTCTTATTGCGAGCACGTTTGTCAATGTTTGCCAGAGAATGCTATAGCATCCGAAAGCCAAGATACTTTACAATGATGTTTCTTTTTAAGTTTTTAGAACATTATTGCTTTAAAAGTTTTCAGCAGTCTGAACCATCAAAGACTATCATTTCTTTCTTTTTGTATTGCTGGGCAAGACCCATATAAGACAGGCAATGTCCATTCCCACCCTATAGTGGTTGCAGCAGAAGGTCTGACTGTCATCTAGGTGTTTTCATTGCCTCTTTCTCTCTATTCTGTCAAGTAGAGAGGGGGGGGTTGCCTGGAAGAGCTTATGTTTCACTGTCATCCCCTCCACCTATTTCTGATAGTCCACAATGATCTTATTTTAAATTTGACAAATGTCACAGTTCATTTATATCTTAAATTAGGTTTAACTCCCAGATTATTTTTAGCCGAAGGATATTAATTATGTCATTGCCTTGTATCAATAAAACAATTTATTCCTTTTTTTTTTTTTTTTTTTTTTAATGTGTGTGTTAATGGATAGCATAGTCAAATTAGTAAAGGCTAATAATAAAGACTAAGTGATCAAACTCTCAGCACACAACTAAAACTAGCTCATTCACCATTACTTTATGAGCAAATGCTCAATATACAAGTATTTACTAAACTCAGGTTAGTCTGCTGATACAAGGTCATAAATGTGGAGTCACAAATGATGATTGAACTCCCTCACCATTACACGACTGCATGCCTCCTCTTCAAATGATCATTTTGAAAACAAAACCAATATAGAACATTTAGTAAAGAAAATCACTTAAAGTGACTTGTAACCTATACTTGTTTATTCTGGAATTGTGCTTGAGAAATACAATAATAATGTAGTATTTCTTATGTATAAATCATTTAACAAATAATATTTCTTGATTTTTTTTATGTATGTTTTGCTTATATTTATAAAGCCTGATACTCATGAAATATAAACTTAATTTCTAGAAAGTCTTTTTATACAAAATCTAAATTCATAAATGAAAGTTTTGTTTGAACTTTTCTCTTAGTATTGACATTCTGTTGAAACAGCTTATTTTTGTCTGGTTTTTCTTAATTAACAACCTATACTTGGCATTATGAGGAAGATTTTTGATCATTCCCAACTACAAACTTTACCAATATTTTGGAATTCACTGGGGGTGTATGAGGGCATAAATGTTTAAAAATGGGAGAATAGACAACATTCCTAAGAGGTGAGAAATAAAAAAAAAAAAAAAAAAAAAAAAACCTCTTTTTGCCTAAACTGGTTTTAAATAGGAATATTGTTGAAATATTAATCATGGAACTTTTGTATCATCAAATATTGCATCATTATGAACATTTATTTGGCAATAGATATTTTCTAATGCCTACTGACAAGTTTTAATGTTTGTTTAGATTGAACAGATTTTTCAAGTGATCACTCTTCCATTATCGACCTGGAAAGCCATTACTCAACTCACAGTAGATAAACTGTAGCCAGTGGTTCTTAGGTTTTATAGTTTTTTAAAGCATCAATTTTATTCATTAACAGTTACCTTTTTTATTGAAGGATTGAGATAACGTTTTGAGTCCTGATTGAGAAAAGCATTCCTACTTTTGATTTTCTTAAGAGCATTCTAGTCTTTAAGAATAGTAATTATTTGGATATAAAGTTAAAATTTAAATTATCAATACAGTCATATTCACTCTGCTAAATAAACTGCATTAGTCTTGGTGATGGAAATGCAAGTAAAGGGGGGGGATATAAATATCCTGGACACAACCAAATGAATATATTGTAATTGTTCCTCTCACATTTGATATTGGAAAATACTAAAATTATTTATGAATTGTTTCAGTGCAAAAACTTTATGCATCTTTCTGACTAGTCTATTTAAATAATTTGACTAAGGCATTATATATTATAAATAATTACAGTTTATCAACATATTATGCAGTGTTAAAAAGAAACTTTAAATTATTTTTGATATTTCTGCACATCATCAGTTGGTGATCTGCATTTGAATTTGTTATTTTTATTTTTTTTTTATGTTTTTTTTGTTTGTTTTTATGGTTTTTTTTTGTTTGTTTTTATGTTTTATTTTTTTATGTTTTATTTTTTTATGTTTTATTTTTTTATGTTTTATTTTTTTATGTTTTATTTTTTTATGTTTTATTTTTTTATGTTTTATTTTTTTATGTTTTATTTTTTTATGTTTTATTTTTTTATGTTTTATTTTTTATTTTTTATTTTTTATGTTTTTTTTTTTTTTTTATTTTTTGTTTTTTTTTATTTTTATGTTTTATTTTTTTATTTTTATTTTTATGTTTTATTTTTTATGTTTTATTTTTTTTGTTTTATTTTTTTATGTTTTATTTTTATGTTTTATTTTTTATGTTTTATTTTTTATGTTTTTTTTATGTTTTATTTTTTATAAAAAGTTTTAACTGCTGCCTTATTTTGTGAAAATCACCTTTACGTTTTTTTATGAAGAGAGAGAATTGTTTTGTTTTTTTTGTTTTTTTCTTTTAAGTATGATTTTTGTCTTGAAAAATGAAATTTGGCTGCTATTTTTTTCTGTGTTGATAATTTCTCTCTCTTCTTTAGGTACATTCACAACACAATATCTGAGCATCAGATACTTATGCAGATCCACCCTGGGGATAGCCCAATGCCCTCAAACCCTTCCCACGCCACACTGACCATAGAAAGGCAGGACCCTCAGACACAGGCAAAAGAAGTTAAACGGTAAGATTTTTTCATAAACTGTTACTTAATATCATGAAATAGTAAAATCATGTTTCACTTTGTTTTTAATAATGTCTATACAATCTTGCATGTATGAAAGATACATGGAGCTCACTCTGAAAGTAATATCTCTTATAATGTCAGAGACTGATGTTGGACTTATAGTTGAGCTGTTTTTTTCCTCTTTACAGATAGCAGCTGAGCGACAATTTAATAAAATGGCATCTGGTATAAAAATGCAAGCAAAGCAGTATTTCATTGAATTCAGTTGATGCTTATCGACACTTGTTCAATGTTTATGGACACCAAACTGTGGATGTGAACACTTGTTGGGTGGTGGGTAATGTTTTAACAGTGACCTACTTTGCCTTTTTATTCAAAATCCCTGCAAGACTGGAGCAGCAGTATTAGGAATTACTTACAGGAGGTTAAGAGTTAATAAACAAGAGAAGAAATGAGTGAGAGGTAAGACTGAGAGAATAAAGAGTCAACAAGATGTAATAAAAAGGAGAGAGAGAGATGGATTCAAAGAGAAGAGCAGTAGGATTGAAAATAACAAGAAAAACCAAACATATCCTCAGAGAGATTGTATAGATCATCCTTCATTACTAAGAAAGAAAAACTTACAAATTGATATGCTTATAACAGAACATAGAGCTGTACTTAAATACTTATATAAAGGTTTTGTTGCAACCAATTCATCTTGCATCTCAAACTCTATAGAGCTATTCCAAAGAGTATTAATATTTTAACAATATGATATATATGAAGCTATTGTATCGTTGATTTAAAAATTATTTGATTTTTTTTTTCTCTCCTAATGGTTAGAATATACACAACTCTCACCTACCAAATATACCACATTAGGAGGTCCGATATCTATCTGGATGCTCCCCACTTCCCTGTATTCAGGGTATCCATATCCAATTGGGTGCTCCACCGCCCCCCCCCGGCTCCATATGCAAGGTTCTGTGTCTAGTTTGGTTTCATATACAATTACACTAAAGTTATTTGGCTTATTTTAACCCTTAAGAGAAATCTCAATAAAAGTATTAGTATAAAGGCCTTCATTATAGTCTCAATGATCTTATTAGACTAGCTTGTTAGCTACTGTGCCATGGTGAGGTGTTCTTGTTGCTGATGAAGAACTTGATTTAAAAAAAAAAAAAAAAAATTGTGTTGATAAACAATGTGTTGCTTAATTATCGTTCCTTCTTTTACAGAATAACAGACTCTTCAGAAAGTTGTTTGCCTAATATACTCTTGTCCATCAGGAGAACATATATTCTTAGACTTATATTATTAATGATATAATAGGCATCAAATCACATCACTAATGTCACCTGTTTGCTGCCATGAGCTAGATAACTCTTATAAGAAAGTCATCAGCTTAGTGCAGACCTTGATCAATGGTAACAAATGGTGAAAAAGTTGGGGGGGGGGTGGCAAAGGCAATAGAATGTCACATTTAAATGGATTTTTCTTTTCTTTTGAAGTGAAGAAATAACTGGAAGCTATTGCCACGTGGATTAATTACAAATTTTTTCCTTTTTTTTTTTTCTTTTTTTTTAAAATTACATTTCTGTTACTTCTCCTGCCTTTTATCATATTAAGGATTTCTTCATAGGACTTTCCAAGCTCAGGAATGGTAATCTTCCTTATTTTGTATCTATCATCCCTATATAAAAATCTTGTCTATAAATGTTTTGTATATAATTTCTGCTCTACAATATTAGCTACCCTTTTTTCTTGCTTCAGAAAGAGCAGTTTAGCCCGACAATGCCAACTTTAACACACACACCCACCCACGTCTATTTTTAGCATCTGACCAATACATCTATTGCTGATAATTCTTCTTAAGAGAAAATAACTGGAAATTAAATATCACTTTAATAAATACTGTTAAGATCCTGCTTAATCACTCAATAACTATTTGTTCATTATATAAACCTTCCATTATTAATAATGACTGCTAAAAAAAACAAAAAACAAAACAAGTGTCAACAGTATCTGGAGAAGTATGGTTTTTTTGAAAGTTCATTTAATCAAAGATAAGCCAAAGCCATGTGGTTTCAATATAACATCTCATTTAAATGAAGATTTTTAGAGCAATTGAACTCAGATAATTGAACATAACTTACAGATGAAACTCTTAAAAATTACAATGAATATTTTCATTGGAAGTAGAACTGAACAGGCAATTTTCAGCTGTCAATGGTGGATCCTTTTCTCATTGTGATATAAATTATGTCTGGAACTTGAACTAAAATGCAGTGACAAATACTAAGACAAATTTGAAAGAGATAGAAGGAAAGACATAAACTCTAGCTGTTGAATACAGCTCAAATTGTGAAATGGTCAATTTTGTGCTTTCCAACTTTTTGTTTTGTTTTAATATACAATCAGTAAAATATTGGCAGAGGAAAGAAGTTATGAATCTTGCATCAAAAGCACAAATGTGACATTGAACAATGTAAGTAAAAGATCATTTTAGTTAAGGTTTTTTTTTTTTTTTAGTGCCATAGATGAAATAGCTCCTCTTACAGTTTGTGATTTATTCTTTCCACAAGATGGAAGCATCTCTGTACAAACAAATAAAATTTGCATATTTATTTCAATATTACACAAATTGTACAAACATTCAGTTTGTACAATTTTGTGCTTTATGATGTACAGAGCTATAAGTTCTAAGACATTTCAGGCTTGTTCAAATTATTAAAATATTTAATAAATTTAGATATTCACTCCTATTTCAAATCGGAGGGTTGAAATTTCTGGGACACATTATGAAAAAAGAAGGTTTGGAAATATGAATACTCGCAGAGTGGTATTGAAGGAAGAAGGGGTAGAGGAAAACTGAATGTAACTTGTGCAATGAGACGGTGAAGCAGGGGGCAAAGAGGACTAGTAAAGAGTCGAGCATTGCTTAGAGCTAAAAGGGACAGGAAGTTGTGGAGAGTATGTTCAGTTCTACTTTCAGTGAGAATATTCTTTGTAAAAAAGTTTTTTTTTTTTTTTTTTTTTTTATCTACCTACATCCTGAAGATCAAGCCAAAAATGGAGTACTGTTGTCATATTTGGGTGCAAGCTGCCCAGACCTCCCTCTCTAGCATTGATAAAGTTCAAAAGTGTCTTGGAGCCCTTGTGGGTGACAAATTATTCTACACCCATCAAACTCTCTCCCAAAGGTGGGATGTAGCAAGCCTCTTGCTGCTCTACCATTACTTCCACAGAAAATGCTTGTGTGAACTACATTCCCGGGCCCTGCCAAAGCAAGAACACACTATGTCACTTACATATTAGCAAACCACCCACATTCTCTCCATATTCCATTGGTGAAAAGTAAGTTCCACTTGACTAGCTTTTTCCCCCGTGAACCTCACTGTAAAAAAAAAAAAAAAAAAAAAAAAGGATACAAGACACATTAATGAGGATGATGATATATTTATTGATGATGATGATATTAGGTTTTGTTTTTTTTTATGTTAATGAAAATAAAACTGACTTATGAAGACTTACTATTTCTATAGATTTTTAAGAGAAAAACAGGAATTTTGTTAGAAAAAAAATACTTAGCAGCAAAGAGGTTAAAGAAACACAACTTTGAAATAAGCTTATCTTTTCCCAGCACAATGATTGGCAATTATGAAATTCATTTATTTGGCCTTGTAAATATTTCAAAAGCAGTTGTAGAAGATACAGTAGAGATATGTTCATCAAAATTCACAACTGAAATGATAACTTTTATGACTTAGCATCATAACTGGGAATAAATGAATTTGATGGTTTTTGTTTTTTGTTTTTGCTTTGCTTTTTTTTTTTTTATTCCAAATTAGCTTTCAACATAGATTGCGTGAACTTCTTCAGTGAAATGTGATTTGATGAGCTGTTTTGATTAGCATTCTCACCTTTTGTCGTTTTGATCATATCACTTTTATTAATCATCATTTTAGCCTCACTTAAGTGGAAGTGGGAGCATTTAGTAATCTTAAGTTTTCTTTTTATTCTACTACAGTACAGAAAAATTAAGGCATTAACATATAAGGGAGAAAAAAATATCACTTAGGTTGGGTGAGGGGGTTATATTGCAAAAATGCACCATGAACTGAGTGGCTTCCTCCATGGAATATAAATAATACATTTTTTTTTTCCCCCTCTCTCTCTCTCTCTCTAAAACCAAACAGATTTCTATTGCTTGATCAGTAACAATTAGAGAAACAAACTTATTATAAAACGCAGAGTGTGTGTGTGTCTGTAACGTTTATATATTGGATCGGATTTCCTACATTTTTCAACCGATTTCAACAAAACTTCACAGGACTACATAAAATTACCTTGTGGTGGTTCTAACAGCGCCAAAAATGGGAAAAATATAATTGTTTTTGCACAAAATCAATTTGAAAACACGATTAAGAGACATCGTGAAAATGGAAGGGGGACAACTCACATCGGGTTGTTTGTGTGTGTGGTTTCCTTTAAATATGGGATCGGATTTCCTATATTTTTCAGCCGATAAAACAAAAATTCAACGGTGGGGTGCAGGTAGTGTTTCTTATTCTCTTGCACACTTTTTTCTTTATTTTTAATATTCAGAATGCTTTAAAAATTCCATTTACAAGACAATTATTTATAATAAAATTCTATTCAATCAGGAGACTGAAAACATTGAAAAAAATGTTTTTGTTTGAGTTTGACCAATTCGTTAAAAAAAAAAAACTAATTAAGACATGCGTGTCCGTCAACCTTAAACAATAATCTAACGATCTCTACTGATTGTACGAATACAAACATCGGAATAAATTCTTTATCTTTAGGGAAAGATAATGAAATCTAAACATACACAAGTCCTAACTAAAAATAATAACCAGAAACTACTTTAAATACACATGGTGTCCAATTTTTTTTACTGTATTCAATAAGTAAAAATCATAAATTGTAAAAGATTATTATTACAGAAAGGCTACTAAATGAATAAGATTTGTTAGATCATAATTAATAAACCCAAATAAAGTTAATATTTTTTGTATTAGAAACAACGAGTGGAAAATATATTCAAACCAGAATTCTAATTATGAATCACCACAAGCAAAATATGCAATTTTTTTTTTACTGTATTCAATAAGTAAAAATCATAAATTGTAAAACTAAAAGATTACAGAAAGGCTACCTACATTTTTCAACTGATTTCAACAAAACTTCACTTTTTTTTTTTTTTTTTTTTTTTTTTTTTTTTGGCATGTAGTGTTTCTTATTGTCTTGCACACTTTTTTCTTTATTTTTTGCATTCAGAATGCTTTAAAAATTCCATTTACAAGACAATTGTTTATAATAAAATTCTATTCAATCGGTAGAGACTCATAACGATTGAAAACAATGTTTTTGTTTCAGTTTGGGTTTGACCAATACGTAAAAAAAAAAAATAATTAAGACATGCGTATCCCTCAACCTTAAACAATAATCTTTGTCAATTTTATTTTTCAGTCTTTATGATGGTGGATACTTGATCTATCTCTTACTGTTACATCTAGCTCTACTGCTAGTTATTCATATACCTGAGAAAGGGTTACCTCTTCCTCAAAATTATGGATAATTTAAGTTTGACTTCCCCCTCCTCTCTTGATGTCTAAACATGGTTTAATTAAAACAACAAAAGTGAGGTTGTTGGTTTAAATAATTCAGCAAATAACATTTTTTAAATAGTTATTTAAAAGAAATTGATTTGTAAAAATTATAAAGAGTAATTTTGCAGAATGTATTTTTGTATCTGCAAAAATCATAATTACATATATGTTGAAATATAAGCCTCAGTTATTTCTGTCCTTCATGTTGTCTCATTCTGTTTTCCATTCAGATTTGTCTCTTTACCATTTTAGACATTGGTCTGTTGGTAAGCTCTTAATTGCAAATGTATTCGATGTTTGAAAATTTGTTTATCAAAATATTTCAGCAAATACTCAAATAAAATCAAGCGCTAAAAAAGTGTAATGTCAAGGTTATAGCAAAAAACATCAGGGAATTCACTCTCTTTTCAGAAGAGTTCTAGTCTGGCTGAAGAAAGCCTATCTTGAAATTTCTTTTTCTCTTCATTTTTACATGTAACAGTATTCCAACTCTTCACAGAAAGTCAGTTCGATTACAAAATACAGAAATGTGCAAATGTCAATTATGGAAGTCAAGGAAAGGATAAAAAAATAAAATAAAAAGGTCAAATCCTTTTTAATTCTGCCATTTGTTGCCTGATTTTTATCTGTATTGACTCTTTATATTTGCTTCTTCCCCCCCCCACACACACACACACCTTGCTCTAAATTGATTTATTTTTTTTTTTTTTTTTTTTTCTTTTTGTCTTCCATCTTCTTTGCAGGTTCAAATGCAGCTTCACAGGTTGTACACGTACTTACAGTACTGCGGGTAATTTAAAAACACACCAAAAAACTCACAAAGGTAAGAGGGAGTCTTGTATAATGCTTACCAACTTAGCTGTTACTTCTAGTACACGTGTACATATATTTAATTATTTACCTTACCCTCCTCCAGCCTAATCAGTGCAACAGGCCCCTGGACTTATTCTTAAAAATATGCATATTCTTGTATTCATCCATTTTCAGTAATTGTTACCAAATTTGTTGTATTTGCTCCCCCCTCCCTCCTACACATGAAAAATGCAAGGAAATAAATTGTCAGATTTGGATCAGACAATCCAGAATAAGAACTGTTAATATTAGGGGCAAACTGCTATCTTTAAATCCTCATAGGGAACCTTTTTGCCTTCCATCAGTATGACTGATGCTAACCTCCAGAAGAGCAAATCATTGTACCATCTTGGTTTCACATTTTCCACCGACCTGAAGTTGGACAATTATATTAAATCAATTGCTAAGTCATCTGTTATTTATTTATTTTTTTTTTTTTTTTTCTGCACTTCTTGCCTGTGGAACTCTGTTTCAGTTTCTGGTTTACCTGCCACTTACATTCTTCAAAAATTTAAATGCAATGTCAATTGCCATCTTCTGTCTTCCTGAAATCACTTCTTTTATTGTCCTTCATCCTCTCTTCGCTTTCACACCTTATAACCTACTGCATCTTAGTGGTGTTATCACCTTGCTTGGGGTGAAATGATTTAAAAGAAAGAAAAAAGAACAATTAGCAAAATGATTGTCAAATGCGAGATATCTTTGAATATGGTTAGTGGAATAAAAAAGCTTGTTGACAAAAAATTTAAGGATAACATTTTGGTTACAGATAGTTTCTTAAAGGTTCACTGTCTGACAATGTATCTGATATTTATTGCTAATGTTTTTTTTCCTAAATAAATATTTTTCTCCTATTCTGTCAATAATTTTGAAAATTCCCCTCCTCCTTTTGAACCCAATGTGTTTCTAGAAACAATAAGGAATACTAAAATGCGATAAACTCTTTAAAATTTGAGAAATCAGCATTGTGTGATGGATTTATTTCAAGTTTTCAGTTCCGTCTTTTAAATTCAATAGCAATAATCAACAAGAAATAATTAAGTAATCAAAAATGTATAAAACATTATAAAATAGTTACAAATAACCACATTTGAATGCGCAATTATTTCTACTCAATAGTCTATCATTACTGCCAACCTAGTAACCATCAGGGTAATACAATTGTCCCTAATGCACCACTAACAGCATATATAAATAGTTGAGCCAAAACACAACACATATGGCCTGAAGATTGTGCTGCAGCATGAAAGTCACAACTTGCTATTGACTTCAGTGTCCACTTTTATATTTATATATAAGATATACTGTGTGTGTGTGTGTATATATATATATATATATATATATATATATATATATATATATATATATAGTGCTCAATATTAAAAATATTAAAATAATATTAAAATATTTTTATCCTGACATTGATGTTTCTTAGTAAAATTTCCATTTTCAATTTTATTGAAAAAATTGGAAATATTGTTCAGGCACTACCCCTGAAGACTGGAAATTTTACTAAGAAACATTGGTGTCAGAATAAAAATTAATATTTAAAAAGTTAAGTAATCTTTATATATATATATATATATATATAAAATGTTGGGGTGGCAATGAAAACTTGACTTTAGCACGAAGGAATTTTTAAAAAATCTGTTTTTTGTCATTTAGTCAGATTCTGGGAGTGGTTGGGTTGAAACATTTTCAGCAATCATGTTTGTGTTAATAATTGCTTCTTTTTTTTTCCTTTTTTATGGATATAATGCTAGTCTACATAGTAAGATAACTATTTCAGTCATTTGTGAAGAAATGTTTTAAAAGTTAGCATGTAAAAAATAAAATAAAAAAAAAATAAAACTTATGTAAGCAAAACATTGAAACTTAACATTTGTTCAAAATTATTCTAATGATTTGTATCAAATATAAGACACATTTGTTGATTTATTTGTAAAATGTTTTAGTGTTGAATAATGAATTGATAATTTTAGAAGGCATCTTTATTTAATAAACTGTGATTATTGAATAGAAATCTTAGCTTCTATTCTAAAATGTTAAAGCATTTTTTTTGTATATTTCAATAAAACCCTGGGAAATGCCAGATATTTTTACATTACACTAAAACAAATATTGTGTGTGTTTTCTAATCACACATTGGGAAGCATATTACCATGAGAAAAAAAATACTCTATTTTTGACTTGAATGTCTTTCATGAAACCTTGAATTACTTTTTGCTAAAATATAATTTCTCTTTCAAACAAAGATTATTGATGTGTCGTATAAAAATTTGTAGGAGGAAAAAAAAAATAATAGCTTTTGTGTCACACAAAAGCTTGTAGAACATACAGAGATCTATAGAGACGTGGAATCTTTAGCATACTTCAAAGTTTATCCTGGGAATCATTAACCTGTGGACAACCAGCTGTGAGTTTCAATGACCTTTTGCAAACTAACTCACCACAATCTGTGACTGTTAGCAACCCATTGTTCCAAATATATTTGATGCTTTTATTTTCACCATAGGACAAAGCTTACAAAACTAGATTTCATGAAAATTGGATTAAATTGCCTAAAGCACAAAATCCTTGAGTTACCAATCCAAGAATTTGGTTACTGGCATGACTCATTATCATGATTAGTCATGAGTTTTCAATTAAACTGAAGATTTTAATTTTAAAAGATTTTTTATCAGAAATCTTGAAGAATCATCCTTGATATTTGGACCAGCATGCTCTTCTTGGTTGTTATGCTCACAACATTTCTGTTGTTGTATCCTCTTTTTCAAGTGTAAATGGAATACAATGTCAGGCACTGGCAACTTCATCAGTAGACCTAGCATACAAATGAGTATCATCTGGGAGCTTATAATTTAAAAAAAAAAGGACACAAAACTTCCACCACCTTTAGTACATACATTTAGGTTTAAGGTTCAAAAATGACAACACTGGACTGTTGATTAAAATATATCAGGTTCCCTAGCAGTTGTAAATTTAGTCACTGTGTCTGATAATATGCAAAAGTTATATACTCTAGTTTAGGAAAAGAAATGAACAAATGAGACAAACATGAATAAAACCAGTGAGTATTAACTGTTATAAATTATCTCCCCTAAACATGGAAAGCAGAATAAAAAAGATTTACTCCATGTCATATCTCGATTGTGTGTGAGGGCTGTGAAGGAGTTAATTTGTTAATAAATCAATAATTATTGAAAGTATAGAAAATCTTTCAAGCATGTCAGACAAATTCTTTGCTAAAACATTTTGATGTCATATTATTCTATTATTAAACATAAGACTGATCTAATACTTAACTGTAAATTGATGCTTAATATTATTTATTAAGCATCAATTTACAGTTAAGTATTACTGGTCCTCTGTGGATTATATAATTAGAATTGTACATCCCACCCTGAAAAAAATTACAAAAATATTTATAAGGAGGTGCTGAAAAGGTTTTTAGTCCATCTCACTACCCAAAGTCTGACCAAATATCAGAAACACAGAGTTATACAGTATGCTATATTTTTGGGTAAAAGTGCTCAATATCAGGGATATAGCTTATGTAAATATAAAAGTGGACACTGAAGTCAACAATCTTCAGGTTATGTGTTGTCTTTTGGCTTGACTACTTATATATGCTGGTCAATGGTGCGTTATGGTTAGCAAGGTCTATTGTATTATCCTAACATTTATTGGGTAGGTGGTAACAGTTATATTTCAAATTATTCTAGAGGATACTGAGTAGAAATAATTGAATCTGAATACAGTTATTTATAAATTATTTTACATCATTATTTGTTAACGTTTTATTCCTTATTTATGATTACATAATTATTTGTTTATTATTGCATTTTTTATACTTGAAAGTTTGTCAATTTGTTTATTATTTACTTTTAGATTTTTGTTTGTTTATTTTAATATATGACTAATGGTGGGTAGGTGACAAAATAGGAAAAATTTCTGTTTATATTTTAATATTTCTATATTGGGTTAGTTTGACATAGCTAGCTATGGATGTAACAACTTTTGCTGCTGATATCTACAGAGTTAAGGTAAATACTTTGTTCCCTCAACCATTCTTTTCTCTGTTCACGCTGGTAACAGGCCATTTTGTCTACATGTCTGACAATGGGACAGAGTACCATATAGAGCTGGCTTGTCAACACAAGAAGCAAATTTCCCACCCTTTCAAGTGGGATGGATCAGTCTGCCTTGAAATGCAGTATTCAAAATCATGATTTTTTTTTTTTTTTTTTTTTTAACCTTCTGGGTTGATACCAGTCAGTGGGAGCAATCAAGTCATATATACCTTTGCCATGAGATGGGCTATTGAATTCATTGACACTTGAAACAGAAATCCAATATTAGATCAGCTACACCTGCTTTCTAACTGAAAGAATTTGTCATGCATTTTAAGATTTAAATTTTTCTTTGAATGAAAATGTGATTATTAGAATTTCGTTAACCATGTACAGATGGACCAACCAAATCTTGGCCAATTACAACACATTTGTTTACAAATGCATATTGTAATTCCAATTAATGGTAAAAAGCTATTTGCAATTGAATCAGCCAAAGCACCATTACTACTTTCATGTAGTGACTGTATTTTTTTTTTTTTTTTTTTTTTTTTTAAATAGCTGATCAAATTTCAATGCAATGACATAAATAGGCATGAACTTAGAAAGTCCTAGATAGTGTTCTTTTGACTCTGGTGACCGATTCAAAGTGGGTAGAAAACAATGAATTTTGTTTTCATGATAATTCAGATTTTTTCAGCACTGGCAGTTGTCCAAATTAAGAGTCAAGACCATGCAGCTGATGCACTCATATTGAGAGTATGTTTTGTTGCCAATTTTATTGCATTCTCTTTCTAACGAAATGAATCTCTACATGGCTGTATATACTGAGCATTCAAATTTAAATTGAGTTTCATTAAAACTTGTAAAATTTTTAAAAATTGATTCAATCTGAAGAGGGTGATGATATCAATGAGAAAAACATATAAAAGTTACAAAAACCGTACTCACTGTTATTGAAATAAATTTTTCTCTGGGCGCTTTTTGAAATGTACACTATTTCGAAATGTACACTATTTAGTTCGTTGTTTTGACTAATTTTCTTGCAATGAATGAGTTGAAGAATTAAAGAAGTAAGCATTATTTATTATAATTTGTATTTCTTCAACTATCATTGCACAATTTATTATATGATTTTTATTCCTTATTTACTATAAGAATTTTCCCAAAATAAGATTAATGTGAACTGGTTTTGTCACCTGTTAAATATTATGCATTGTATTTTTTCAAGAGAAATAGGTTATTCATTCTCTGTGTCTCTGTCAAAGTTCTCACAGATTATATAAACCATAAATTTCTTTTGTATAGTTTTGTCCTACTTTACAACCATTGCAAAATTCTTTCCCACCCCCGCCATTTTGGGCATTATGTATTATTTGTACTTGACATTAAAGAAATTTAAACAATCAATTTCATCTTTTAAAACCCGTTTTCACTTATTATTATTAACAACTACATAATGTTTTTGTATTTTTAGGAGAATATCACTTTGTTTGCAACCAGGAAGGTTGTGGTAAGACGTTTCTGACCTCCTATAGCCTCAAAATACATGTCAGAGTTCACACAAAAGAAAAACCTTATGAATGTGATATAATTGGCTGTGCAAAAGCTTTTAATACATTGTACAGGTAAGTGTGAAAATTTCATCTGCCATTCACCATTTTATTTTAATTTCTCTTGGTCATTATTTAAAGAAAATAAAGATCAACAAGTTATCTAATATTTACTAAACCAGGTCTGAGAGCAGGGGGCAGAGGTACCAAAATAATCATCAAACTCACTCCACTGGAATGTCTTGGGAGATTGGCTTGCTTATCATTTTTCTATGGCAAGTACCCATTAGATTAGTTTTGCACAGAGTTCACTGCCAATAGCTTGTGTGACTTATTTGTTTATTGTTAAGCATCTAATACATATTTACTAAAATTGCCTTAATCTTACATGTAATCTCATTATGGCAATGATCTTTGATGACATATAAGACCCCCTCCTTCCTTCCTCTTTATATTTTTAGCGAACCTTCTGGCCCCTCAAATGATCACCCTGTTATTCTTTTTCCTCTTTTTAGCAATGTACTACAGGCTCTAATCAATACTGAATTGGTTAAGCATCTTACTTCACATGGTCTTCTTTTGGATAAATAATATGGCTTCCGTTTCTCCAGGTCTACTGCTGATGTGTTAACAGCTGTTACTGAATTTCTCTGGCTTTAGATAAGAATCCCCCCCCCGTCTTTTCTCCAAATATTTTTCTGGCAATTTTTCTGATGTGATACCCTCCTTCGTGTCTCTACCGCATGAGTTTAAACATACTGCTAGATTGGCAGCTAGGTTTCACTGTTGAACTAGTGAGATGCAACCATACATTCTATTCTAATAGTTTCTTTTCTCACTTGTGAGACTCCCCCCACTTCCCAGCCATCTACATGCTTCAAAAATGTAAATGCAAAGCCAATTGTCATCTTCTGTCTTTCTGAACACATTCTTTTATTGTCCTTTCTCCTCACTAAAGTCTTATTCTCTTTCACTCCAAGTAACCCCTTTGCATCTTAGTAACATTATTGCCTTGCTTGGGACAAAATAATTAAAAAGAGCCAAAGAAAGGTTTGATTATTGGTAGTCTACAGCATCAGTGTAAACATTAGACTACCATGTATACTTCAGCTTTGTATATAAGTGTGTCTGTGACTCACACACACACACACACACACACAAAAAAGACCATTCTTAGGGGATAAATATTCTTGTTTCCTAATCCTTGTTCTGCAACAATAATTCAAACTTGTATAAAGAAAAATTACACATAACACACTTGACTAGGCCAATCTCTGTTATCATACCGACCTCCCTCATTGAGATTAGTTGGTGGAGTGGGGGTGTCATAGTTTTCCCAACCCTGCACCACTGTTAATTGTGAACTCCATAATCTCTTCTATGCCTGCTTTTGTATTGTGCCTCACCAGGACAAAATGCAGTTTTGAATTCAGACTTGTACTTTCTTTAGACTGGTTGTCAAACATGGCTAGAGAGTGCAATCTGCTCTACAATTTAACCCATAGCTGGTGGGGAGAAGAGATGGATTCGTACCTTTCTGAAGTGTATTTGTATGAAAGTGAAGGCAATGAAATCCACTGGAATTTGTACTTGGCATGCTGTTTCTTTTGTTATGTGCCACTAAGTCCTTAATATACCAGTACATCATCTGATGTTATATTAGATGATTATACTTTTTAAAAAAAACATTTACTTAAATTTACCCAACTTTCAAATTGATAATTTATATATAATATTGTTTATGAGAGTAGACATGAAACAAAATGCAACTGACAGAAAAACAAATTTGCAGAATGATTAATTGAATCAAGTGATCCTCTAAAAATTTTTTGCATACAACTTTTTTTTTTTTCTAAAACTGCAATGCTACAAAACTAAGACCTGCTACAGAATGCAGAAATTTGATAAAATATTTATAATTAATTTCTTTCTAATATTTTTGTTACAATTTGACTGTTTCTATTTTTCAATTTGTCTTGTTTTCAGATTACGTGCCCACCAACGTCTTCACACGGGGGACACTTTCAACTGTGATGAAGATGGCTGCACTAAATACTTCACAACCCTCAGTGACCTTCGCAAACACATTCGAACGCACACCGGGGAGCGGCCTTACAAGTAAGCCTTGAGCAAAATCACAGAAGCTGGTTAAAAGTGATTAACTCAATCTACACAAAAATTTTCACATTTCTGACACTATACAAAATGGATAAGCTTCAAATTAGAAGTTATTAACTTCTAACACCCCCCCGATTCTTTCTCCATGTTACATGTATTAGATTAATACACTTATGAAACTTTAATTCAGCCATTCTTCACTTAATGACTTACCTGTTTAACAATTCCCCCTCCCCCAACTTAACTGCTATAAATTCAACCAAAATAAAAAAAAAAAAATGTTCAAAATCCAACTCATCAGCATTTTACAGAAACTTTGATCATGTTTTGTTTTTTTTTTTTTTTTTTCTCACTTTCTTCAGAATAAGTCAAATGAAAAATAAAAATAAGCAACTGGTTAGCAGTATTGATTTTACTGCTTTTAAACTACAAATTTCCTCCCAAAGTCGACCTTGCTAACCAGACGCTCCTTCCTAGCTAAACTGGTATAGCATATGATGGTTCGGTGTAGGATACAGGTTCAATTCCTGTCAGAGGACACATATTTTCTATGAAAATTCTCGGACATTCAGGCGAGTAAATGTTGTTAATACTGTTTATTATAAACAGAGCATTTACTTAAATATTTGTGTCTATATAAATAACATGTAACAATAAGATATATTAAAATACTTGTCGGACTTAGTCCATTTTGTAAGTGTGTATGTGTCTCTCTCTCTATATATATATATATATATATATATATATATGTATATATATGTATGTATTTTAGGCTAGGGTGTCAAGATTTTCCTAGAGATGGTGCCTTGATAAAAATTCAGTCTATTTGGACTACCAGAAGTGTCTGAGTTGAACATCAGGAAAACATTCATAAAACCTTGTCTCAAATCATTGACAAATTGTTTGTCAGACAGGACCCTCCTTGTTTTGTGCAAGATTAATCCCGGTCCTGCGTCAACACAAAAAACATGTCTATGTATGTATGCATGCAAACCAATGTACAGAATATAGGCCTAGTTTTTCAATTTGTTTGTAACGTTTACTGTTCAGTATTTTGAACATTTAGAAATAAATTAGCAATGTTCAAAATGTTTCAAAAGTGACATTAAAAATATCAGAACCTGATTGGCACAAACCCATTACACACATAGTATGCCTGAAATAGCACTCAGTTACAACTTCTCATTTAGTGACCAACTTGTTTAAGCACAAGGTTGTTAGACTGGAACCTGGTCATTAAGGGAGGAGTGACTATTTACTTTTTCCTATTCAATATTCAACAGATAATCCAACCTTGGCAATGCGTAGATCATTTATTCCATTATTAGTGTAGTTTTCTATATCACAGGTTGAATTTGTGAAACAAAAGGGTCCAAATTTTAATTCTCTCTCATTATTACATTTTAATACAATTAGCCATATGCTGATCATCAGTTATCAGTGTTGGTCAAAGTTGCAATGTGCTGAGCTGTCATGATGATGAAGGCTGGATTGAAAAGGTCATTAAAAAACAAAGCAGAACATCTGTTTTCAAGGTTTGGTCATAGAAATTAAGCACACTTACGTGAACTTAGTCAGGCATGGGGGGGGTTGTTCACTTTATCAAGAGCTAAATCTAACAGCTTTTGATGTAGATGTAGCTACGATTCTGATGCTTCCTCAAAACTAGAAAACACACACACACGCACACACACACAGCTTACCTCTCAGGACAGCTGTTCTTGTGATGAATTTACCTCTGGTAGAATTCACACAATTCACTCTCCATCTTGTGTATCCTTCTATCTATTTCCTTCCTCCATTCAGCCACCCACCCATCCTTCCATCCATCTCCTTACTTCCATCCCTCCTTCCTTCGATCCGTCCATCTCCTCCTTCCTTCCTTCGATCCGTCCATCTCCCTCCTTCCTTCCTTGATCCGTCCATCTCCTCCTTCCTCCTTTTCGATCCGTCCATCTCCTCCTTCCTCCCTTCGATCCGTCCATCTCCCTCCTTCCTCCCTTCGATCCGTCCATCTCCCTCCTTCCTCCCTTCGATCCGTCCACCTCCTCCCTCCTTCCTCCCTTCGATCCGTCCACCTCCCTCCCTCCTTCCTTCCTTCGATCCGTCCACCTCCCTCCCTCCTTCCTTCCTTCGATCCGTCCACCTCCCTCCTTCCTTCCTCCGATCCGTCCATCTCCTTCCTTCCTTCTTTCCGTCCATCTCCTTCCTCCATCTGTATATGGGATTTAGATGATAATGCATATTCATGTCTTTGTCTATTACACATATTTGTTGTTTTATTTTCGCACGTTGATTTGGGAACGTTTTTAGATACATACCTTTTGTTTTAGATATAAAAAATTTAAAAATGGATTCAATAAAGTTTGGCAATGTAATATAAATGTTTTTAATGTACATGCATAGTTTGTTAGTCACTAGTAATCCAACAAAATACTTTTGACATAAAGAATTGTTTTGGGTGGGGGTAATGAAGATGGCATTTGTAAAATCCAATGTTATGGACAGTTTTGTTTCTGTGTATTACAAATGAATTTAAGTGATTGTCTAAATGTAAATCCCTTATGTTTGTACAAAGTACTTTGAGGGATTACTAATATCTATATTACCAACTATAAACTCACGTCAAAATCATATTCCATCACCAATCTTTATTGAATCCATTCTTTAAGCATCTAACGTGTGTTTATTTAAAAAAAAAAAAAAAAAAAAAACGGTATGTACATAAAAACATTCCCAAATCAACATGCAAAAACCACCAAACATAATGTCTACTAGTCATACACATTATCATTTAAATTTTATATAGACAGACTAAAATTATTATACACTCTATCTCCCCAATAATCTAGCTGAATGCATAATGTATTTCCCCAAGTGTCCCTTGTTTGGTGGGCCCCCCAGACTGAGAATGTATTTTATCAGCTGGATCTTGCTACTTTTAAACACTTAAATACCTGACACCATGTTTTCTGCCAAGACTAAAGAAAATGCTAATCAAACTTTTTCATTTGACTTTCTCTTTTTCAACTGAAATTAACACATTTCCGGAACAAGATTCTGGAAGGCAAATATCTTTTCACTGAACGTTTAACTTGGGCCACATAAACACTGAAATATTAAAACCACCTCCATCATGGGAAAATCCACATATATAGTGTCTAGTCACTACTAATAAAAACATTTTTCCTATTATCTAAATTTTCACATTTGAATTTGTATGCATAACACAAAGTACTCAAATATGCAATGTGAGGTTGTTTTTTTTTTTATAACTTCAAGCAGATAGAAAAACATTGTTTTCTTTGAGAATTTAAGAGTGATAGACTAAAACCCTATAAAATACATCCATGAATAATTAAAGCCAATCAACTCACACAAACAAAAGTAAAAGCAAGTGTAAATCAAAAAAAATTATATTCCAGAAATTAAGAAACTCCTCAATTCCTGGAATGTAATTTATATATATATATATATATATATATATTCTTATGAAGACAATTTTCATGGAACAGAGAACAGAGTAGATAGAGGAAAAATTCTTAATGACTGCTCTTACTGCTTTGACTCTGAATGTAATATGGACTGACTACTCATACTTACTATTTGATATATCATCCTTTTATTTATATCTGGCATGCAGGCTTAGTAGTAGACACATGCATATGTATGAATATGTTATAGAAAAATGATTGACTCTATTTGCCAGTGTGTTACTTTAAGAGTATAAAAGTTCTAAAAACTTTATAACTGTAAATGCCAAAAAGCTAAAATTTTGCAGATTATTAATTTTGATATGTTTTAAATACTGGGTAATTCCCATTACCAATTCCCATAATTTTTTTTATTGATTAAATTTTATGTTAACTTTGTATATACTGAGTAAATTTTCAATAAAGAGTTTTTTTTACTGAAGTTGCTTAACAGAACATGTTCTAGTTATATATCTAGCATTTTGTTGCTTTCTAATTTGTTCATTTTATTAAATTTTAATTTATATAGATTTTTAAAGCTTTCCTTCACAAGCACTACAAGGTCATCTATCTTGCCTGCCATCTAGCTATTTACCTAAATCAAAACCTCCCAAGTTAGTGTTTGAGTTCTGAGTATTCTAAAGAGCTAATTATATATATATATATATAATTAGCTCTTTAGAATACTGATTTTAAAATTGTAGTTCAATATAACGTATTCTAACCCAAACACCCCTTTTAGAAAAAAATCTTTAAGTATACAAGTACGAATTTAATGGAAAAATACTGAAAAACTTTTTGTCGTTAATAAAAAAAACAGACAACATGCAATGAACGGATGTCAAAATTTGTTGAAAAATACACCCCTACCCTCCCTAAACTTAACCTCTTTTTTGAATGTAACTCATAATTGATGTAACAATAGTTAATAAAAATGAACATGCTACCACCCCTGTCTAAATGATTGGATTTCTCTGTATCCTTGGAAACAAGAAATTATGAATTATATGTGCATTTAAAACTCAGTAAATTTAAAAATAAGTTATTCTAAAATTCGCTTGAAGATGAAACAGAACTAATGCTTTTAATTTAATTAAATTTGAAGTTTTTAGCTTCGGTTTTTGAAACATGGTAATTCCTGTGTAGCAAAGAAACCATATTTTAAATCAGTTAATTTATAATATATATACACACACACTGTAATTTCATTGCTAATGACTGTTGTAAAAAGGTATTAAAATTAGGAAGTGTAAGTGGTCAAGAATTAGTAGTTACTAATAGAATAGGTCTATTTATAATGTATTGCTAATGATTTAAAATGTAGAAGGGATTGCCATTGTTCAGGAATAAAAGTAATCATTCATAACAGAATAACATTATTTCATGAGCTTATGAAACCATTTGATATTTTCCTCACCACCAAGCAACTCTAACATTTGGTCATTTTTAAACATGTTTATTGCATTTTGTTTTTCTTTTCAAATTATCTAATCGCACAAATTGTCATCTAAGATTTGTTTGCATTTATAAAAAAAAAAAAAAGTGGGGGAAAAATAAAAAAATCTGATTCTGACAATTTAAGTGAATCTTTTTGTTTTCATCATCAGAACTGGACCCCCCCACACACACACACACACACACACACTTAAACTTTTTTTTTTTAAATAAAACTGGAAAAAAAAATTCTAAAAAGAATACTTATCAAAAATAGTTGATTTAAAAAGAATAATTTTTGTTAATATTTCAATGCTTATTCACACCATATTCTGTTTTTCTGATGACATGGGATAAAGTACACTAAAGAATCACAAGTTTGTTTATCTTTTCTTTTTTTTTTCTTTTTTTTTCCTTCTTTAAAGATGTGGTGAAAATGGATGTGGAAAAGCATTTGCAGCCAGTCACCACTTAAAAACCCACACTCGGACACACACTGGTGAGACATCTGCATTGTTTCTTTTCTTTTACAATATTTATTCATTTATAAAGAATTTTGTATTAGAAAGGAAAATTAAAGTTCACTTCATATAGAAGTGTAGTATTTTGACAGTTTTGTTTACTTGTAGCAACAAAATGACACAGGGATCCTGCTCCTTCATAAATGGGCAATATATATAATATATATATATATATATATTAATCATGTGAGAACCTTTCTTGCCTTCCCTCAGCATTGCTGATGCTAATCTCTAGGAGAGTGACTTATTGCATTTTCTCAAGCTAATGTTTTGCACTGATATGAAGTGGAAAGACTATATATTGAATCAATTGCTAGGCCTGCTGCTAGAAAAGTTGGTTCATTGTGTTGTGCTAGACAATCTTTCTCACCACAATCTCTTACACATTTATTTAAAAGTCTACCATTCATCCATACATTGAACATTTCTGTCATATCTGCAATGTTATTGGTCCTGACCTGGCATCTCATCTTCAGTCTCTTTCCCAGCACCATAATGTAGATTCCCTGTGCCTTTTCTATAACTATTTTCATGGTAATTGTTCTAATGAGCTTTCTTCTTTGGACTAGTTAGGATTTCATAGAGAAATTGTGGTATTATGGTAACTGTAGTAAGAATGGTAAGTGAGAATGTGTTTTGGTGAAAGGAAAATTATTACATTTTGGGTCAGTAATTGTTTCTAACTAAGTTAAATACATGACAAGATGAAGATCAGCTTTCTCCATCCACCTTCCCTTTTTGGTCTGGTGCCATATCTCTTGTATTTTTAACAAAAATAAATATTGATTTCCTCTTTGGGATCTAGACCTTATGAATTTAAGCACAGTACTAGATTGGCAGCTAGGTCTCATCATTTTACAGTTGAAATGGCTAGATGTAGTTGTAAGTTCTATGCTAAATCTCTTCTGGCTTCTTGTATTCCAGTAAACTTGAATCTTCAAAAATTTAAATGCAATGTCAATTGTTATCTTCTGTCTTTCTGAACCCTGTTCTTTTTATTATTCTCTCTCCTTAATATTGTTTTCTTTGTTTCATATTCTCTCACACTCGGTAACCTCTTGCATCTTAGTGACTTTTTGCCTTGCTTGAGGTGAAATAATTACAAATATAAACTGCTTGTACCAAGCTAGAATATTGTGTAATGTTAAATTATTATGCATAAGTGGCCATCCTATGGCCTGTAGATACTTTTTTATGCCAAAACCCTAACGCTAAACCTAATTGTTATACTTTTTAGATGTCATCCAGAGTTGAAGGTCTATCATCATGAATGAATAGAACCATGCGTTACACAAAATCAAATAAGGTTGACTGCTTTGTCTTACATTTTCGCTCTTTATCTCAATGTCAAAATCTTTAAAATCCATTTTCTAATGAAAGATAAATTAGAAACTGTTAAAGAGAAAGTAACTGCCGGGGGGTGGGATTTGTTAGCAATTTGGGATTACGGCCATATCACAAGGAAATACCAGTTCCTGTATGATCACCAAATTTAAGCAATGTCGAGCCTGTCTGTACCTAGATGGGTGACTACTTGAGAATACCAGATGCTGTAAGCTTGAATGTACGGGTGGTGTAACGGTTCAGAATTGTTAATTGGAGAGCAGAGTTCCAATTCCATTTGGGTTCGTTATATTCACTTATGCATAAATACCTTTGGGAAGGTATAGATCCACCTCTTCTCCCTCCAGCTATGGGTTAATTAGTGAAACTTGTTTCACTAAATTATTATTAAAAAAAAAAAAAAATTCTTACAATCTAAAAATATTTTCTAGCTTTAAATAATCTGCAAAGGGTTGATAATTGAAAAAAAAAAAAAAAAAAAATGATCAATCAATCATGATAGCAATTTTAAAAAATAGCTTTTGCTATAAAGTAGTAATTGCATTATACATGAAAATAAAATATATTCAATCTGTCCACCCCTACCAAAATATAAATCATCTCCCATTTTGCATTAATGAAAACAGTATTTCTTTTCTTTCTTTTATCTGGAGTTATTACATCATATATCTATTTATCTATCTAATCCTCCTCAAACAAACACACTTCCAACCTCTTCTTTCTAACCATTTTGATCAGACATAGTTCCAATTTATTTTTTCTGTTTCCAATGTCATTTATTGATGAAGGTTCTTGTTGATCTTTTCCTAAAACTTGGATTTCATCATACAAACTGATGCACAATTTCTTGTTTACTTCTCCAGCAACAGCCACTTAGCAATGTTTGCCTTTCACAGATTGCATCCATAATCTTTGCTAGATTGCCAAATAGTTAGTTCTTCATTGGACACATGTTACTTTAGGCTGACATTTAGTGCTGCTGTCAATAGTTGAGTGTACATGCCATCTAGGTTTTTCTGTTTGTTTGTTTTTGTTTTTTTTTTTTTGCCAGTGATTTTTATGAATGTCCCAAGTGTTTGACCCATAATAAGAGGATTGTTTCTAGTGTTGACATAAAGAATGATTCTTTCAGACTTTTTTTCATTTTTTTATTTACAGATTGGATTCATTTTTGATAGTACTGTCCATGCCTTTCTAATTCTGTCTTTTTCCGAAGGAATTCATCTGTAATCCAAGAAAAACAAAAAGTCATGTTTGCTTTAAATTGTCACCTTTTTGAAGTTTATAACATTCCACATAGCACTTTGCTCCTTGTTATTTTAAAATATTATTCCAAAGTATTTGATTTCTCTCTAGAAATATATTAGAGGAAGTATTTGTATGAAATACTTTGATACAAAAGAGGGTGAAAACAAGTCTCCTCCTCTCCATAGAGCAAAAGGTAATCACAGGGAAACTACAATAATGAGTTTGATCATCACTGGGTGCTTTACATATGAGGCCTTATACCAGATTCATTTGACTTGAGTAAATAATATTTAATTTAGGGTGCTTTGCCATGGAACAAGGATTAACAAGCTGATCTCGTAGACCGTTCGTAAACTTGAAAGTTTGACTGTTTCTTGTGATTTTTTTTTCTAAGCTAATAATAAACTCAATACAGAATTTCTCTTCTTGGGTGAATGAAATTTGTAAAACTTCTCATTTTCTTCCTAATTTTCAAAACTAAATTTTGGTTAAATAAACCAAAATATCTTTTAAAAGAAAGAAAATGTCTGTCTTATGTAAAGCATTGGCTTTTTTGCTGTAAAAGTTCACGTAATATCTTGAGTCATTTGTCAGTAACATGCAGCCTGAGGTGACAGCCTCTGCTTTGTATTGGACCAGTCAGTTGTCTTTTAATCTGATGCTTCTAACCATTTGTTTTGTTACTAGCTGCTGCCAATAACTTTTTTTGACTGTCCTCATTAGCTCATGTGAGTTGCTACTTAATTAACCTTGTTAACCTTCTTAATTTCTTTACTGGACTGTACAGTATTTAATCAAATGATTCACTCTAACAAACTAGAGAACAAAAAAGTAGCCATATAAAACTGTTGTCTGTAAAGCAGCAACTGTTTTTGTGTTTCTGTATGAACATAATTATCATTTGGTGTAATGATCACATGTTTAGGTACTATTAGATATTTATATAACTGGATATCGTAAGCTTCAAAAGACTGAATGTAATGGATATGGGGCACAAGTGTTTTGTTCTAGGATTGTACGTTTACCTTCAGCCAGGCTCGGATAAAAATATTCAGTTGACAATTTGGACAGAGCTTTGTGTACTTTTAATGTTATTCTCTGTATGTAAACTATTTGTTTATAAATTATATTGACTTTGTCTTTTTTTTTTTTTTTCTTAAAAAAAATTGTTCTACACTGATAAGAAATCTATCCCAGCATTCATTAACCATTCATTGGGGTGTTTGAATAATCAACAAAATATTTTTCTTTGATATTTAGCAAGTGGCAAGTCAAATTTTCATTATTAGTTAAGTAGTATTCTGAATACCTCTATCATGTAACTATAAGTTTCCAGTTTTAGTCACAATATTTGTAGGAATTTGAAGCAGTTTTGTTTACTAAAAAATAAAATGAGACCTATTTTTGAGTATTTGAACTTTCGAAACTTAAAAATTCATTTTTTAATAATAACCACTTAATAAGAATTTTAAAAATAAAACTTTTTATTTTTATTTATCCTATAAAAGAAAAAGAAACTGAAGACAATGTATAAAAAGCAAATTAAGAACTAAATGATACACAGCTATAATATTTTAAATGAGGTATTTGAATACAGCATGGTACAAAGGTTGAAAATGACTCATAGTACTAATGGAAGGTTAAGTTAATGGTCAGTATATAACCTAAAAATTTAATCTTATGGTGTTTGGTACATTATTTCAATAGTATTCTTTATTAAATTCATAGACTGTGGGGGAACAAGATACCATGTGTTTTGTATTAGAATACATTTATGGAGTAATCAAATTTAGTAAATGTCTATTATTATTATTATCATCATCATCCATTATGAGTGGGTGCAAAAATTCCCCCACAAGAATGACCAAAACTCAGAATACTGATCTTTGGGAGCTTTCAGCACACTTTTGTTTCTAAGGATTATACTCAGCAAATTCCATTAATTTTGTAGCTATTTTTAGAATTTCTTATTAAGGCTAACTGTCACCTTAATTATACAAATATATGTTGAAAAGTATCAGTTACTCTGGTTTTTCTCCTTCTGTAAGTCTGAATGAGATCTTATTAAAGAACAAAAACATTTGTCTAAATAAATAAATAAATTAACATTATATAAGTAAATTAATTAAAGTCACATTTAAACTAATAAATCATCAGTTTCCCTTTGTTGTAATTACAATGTCCGCTCAGTCCTAAATGGATTGATGTCAAAACAGAAAAAATACATCTTTAGTTTATTGTTTTTTTTTTCTTTCTTTCTTTGTGCATCCTTAATATATTTGTTTCCTTTCTGAATGGAGGTGAAAAACCGTTTACATGCCAACAGGATGGATGTCGACGTTCTTTTACAACCCAGTACAGCCTGAAAACGCACAAAAATCGTCACGATAAAGGATTAAGTTCCAGGGACAGTCCAGAGAAATCGGTAAGTTTTATCTCTGAATGTGACTTGGGGGTGTTAGTTTAATATCTTTTGGTGGGTGGGGAAGACCTGTGATTTCCAACTTTAGACCCTGAGGGGATACTATCTGTTTATGATCTGGCTTAGTAACGGGGTTTGAAAGAAGAGGTTACTTTTTTTTTTTTTTTATTTCTTTTTATTTTGTGCATAACTGCTACGTTAATAGAAACCATTTCCTTGAATTTCACTACTGAAATAACAGATCATTCTATAAGAAATGTCCAAAATTAGGGACAAAAACATTATCAGAAATTCATCTTAGAATTTTATTTATTCATTAACATTTGATTCTATCTTTATCAATAATAAACTTCCTAGTAACATTTTTGTAAAAGTTCTTTGAGTTAGAGAAAAGCAATTTAGACTGAATCATTTCCACGAATGGAATCTATTTAAGAACTGGCTCATGAAGTAAGCTGCAGAATCAGTCGTAAATACATAATATATGATCTGAAGAATAAGAAGCATTTTGAACAACTTCTCCCTAGTGTGTCTTTACTGCTGGCAAATTTTTATTCAAAGAATCTGTCTTGTAAGAACCACAAATATTTTAGGTGTTTCTGCAGCATTACTGCTATTTCAAAACTCCTAAAAAGCATTACTTGTCTTATGTACTCCATAGATAAATTCAGCTTTAGGAGGATCAATTCACTAATTTTGTTTAATTACACAATGATGACATAACTTCTTTAAAATTGTACAAACAAGCCTATGCTAAAATGTATTGTTATTATTTAAGCATCTTATTATTTTTATTTTTAAAATCCTTGCTATTGGATTTTGCAAATTACTCGTGGGATGACTTTATTCAAATGTTGACAGTTAATAATCTAAACTGGATTTAATTGTTTCAGTTTTTGTGTGTGATTTTGGTCTATTTACACTCCTACCCTAAAAAAAAACAACTTTTATACAAACAAGGCAAGTAGTGACCTTGCAGGAATTCCCCAAAACAGAATCGTGAACTCCCCCCCATATTACACCCTTATCTCCTGTGTTGAAATATATTTTATTTAATGTGAGTTGTTTAATTTGTATAATAATAAGTTTCTGGAATTTTGAGAATCTATTGACATACAGAATAAACAATCCACTTAAAATGGCTTTCAGCTCAGGAGATGGTATCTTAAAGTGTGTATAAAGTAATCAATGTTTTGTTTTGTGTTGTACTCTGTTTTATTTTTATTTATTTATTTTTTTTTATTTTTTTTTATTTTTATTTTTTTATTTATTTTTTTATTTTTTTTTTTTTTTTAAACAAAAACATATTTTATACATTCTTTTTGGTATGGTCTTACTCCTTTAACCATTATACATGACATCACTTTGGACTGATTCAAACTTTCAGCTGTTTATAAAATACCAGGATGTAGCCAACAGAATCTTGCCTACCACATTGACAGCACATGGTTCTTGATGATGACTGAGATGGTCAAAAATACTTGAACAATAACAATAGAACAAAACCGGAACTTTGGACAGTTTATCCACAATTTCAATTCTGATATACAACATCATATTCAAAAACTGCAAAAATACAATAAAAATTAAACAGACACTCCTTAAACATCTGTCTATATTTCTAAGATGAGGTATTGTAACTATTTACATCATCCTTTTTATTGTCATATTTACATTATTTCGGGTATTGTACATGCTAGCCTTCTACAGGTGATATACACTGGAATTTCAAGCTGCACCCTTTAAATCCACAGGGCATATGGAAATAGAACAATAAAAAATAAAGTTAGATTAAGTTACTGTCTACTAGTAATTTGAAAACTACAATAAAAAGACAAAATGTTAGGAAATGTTCAGCCAGCCATGTGTTCAAATTAAAAGAAAAAATAACAGATCTGATTGTAAACTGGAGAATATTAAGAAGGGCCAAACCTTACAGCAACTGTAGTGATGTCTGCAAACTGTGCCAGGAGGAAATGGCATTTCCAGACCAAAAAATCTGCTAAATGAAAGATCTGAAAAAATGTATACAAACTAAAAAGTACTTTTTTAGTTCCTATGAACCCAGGTGAAAATGTGTATTATTTACTCCACCTCCAATACAATTTCAATATTCTTACCTTATTTCTCCCCTTCTGTTACAATTCATATTGTGCATTCATATACAACTAATAAAGTGTTCTCAGGCAGTAAATGAATAAAAGTTACTTTATTATGTGTTAAAATACACTTGTCTTTTATTTTTATTTGTTTTTCTTCATCCCAACAACCTGGGATATAACAAATTTTTGGCAACAAGGACTCAAACTTCAAAATCAACATGGCAATTTCACCAGAGATGCTTACTGAGATTTTATGCCAACAGAAAGAAAAATTTCAGAAGGCACAACAACAGTTATTGACAGCAGTGACTGCACAGTTCCAGATTCAACTCAAAATTTTCCACGCTAGAACAAACAAAAATACCAATTTAGCAGATATCTTGTCTAACAACATTACAGAATTTCACTCAGACCCAATCAACGAAGAAAAAAAAAAGCATTTGCTTTGTGGTTTAAACATTGGATGAATACCTTTCATGCCAATATTTCTCAAAGAAAAATGGAAAATTCATCCCCTTGTAAACTGGGCACTAAGGAAGATGACAGTTATAAGAATTCTATTTTACCAAAGCAGGCAATGGATTTCACCTTCACTGAAACAGTGGAACAACTGTGTGAAGTATTAAGATAAAAAACATTCTTTGTTTAATATTTGATTCAATTGTTTAAAACTAATGAAAGATGACGCTGACTATTACGTAACATTTGATGATCATGTCAATTGTGAATGCAAAAAATTTAAATTCCCTCACTGAGGAAGAGTTTAAATGTTTGATTTTTATCGTAGAGTTAAAATCTACCGATGTTCGTTCCCGACTTCTTTCAAAATTGGAACAAGACGAAGACATTACGTTAAAAACCTTCATCACTGAATGTAATAATTTATTAAGCATAAAAAGACAAAACAGGGTGACGAAAATGTCTGGAACAAACACAGTGTCTACAAAGTTCAAAGTGGATTATGAATACTGCAGAAAATATATTGTTTCTGTAAACAAGAAGTCAGTTCATTTCCACTTTGATAAAGCATCGGACATAGCATTAATATCGAATTCAACTTTGGAACAAATTGAGAAACCACACATGTCTAAAACAGCAATGAATCCATCTTGAAGTACAATTCATTTAACTCAGTCGTTCCCAACAGATTTTGAGCCATGCCCCACTTTGGTATTTCTAAAATTCTGTTGTCCCCCCCCCCTGTACTATTTTATTCTTACATGTATGCACATACACATAAAATATTTTTATGTGCGCATATTGTATATGCATCGCATGTATTAACACGCATTAACATTAAAACTCTCATTCAGATTCACTAGAAAACAATTCCCTGTTAATAACTCATTCTCGAATTGTCCCCTTATTCTGTTGGTATAGTAAGCCGAAAGGTGCACATCAAAAAAAGAGTGTCACGCCAAAATATTACCAAGCCCCACCGGTGGGGCATGCACACCACATTGGAAATCATTGGTTTAACTGGTGAGTTAACTTACCATGTTTCCTTTTGAAATAGAAAATTTTCCAGTGTGTGTTATATTGCAGATAATTTGAATTTAATTGGTCTTGACTGGATAGAACAACTTAAACTTTTTGAAATTCCTCTCAAATCTGTGTTCAATACATTTAACCTCACATCGGTTTCTGATATTAAAAATCATTTCACAGACAAATTTAAAAATAAGTTTAGTGACATTTTTTCAAGAGAGACTTGGGTGCTGTACAAAAGTTAAAGTTACCCTGAAATTAAAACCAGATTCTAAGTCGATTTTTAAATAGAAATGGCCAGTACACTGCTGCTGTGAATATAGTTGAAAAAGAACTGCAACATCTTCAGCATTCATCGATGACTTTATTGTTGCAGAATATGGATTCCATGTTAAAGCTGAAAAGTGAATTTTTCTGGGAACAAATCAAATATCTTGAAAACCAGGCCTGGAAAATATCTCGGCAATAAAAAAAAAAAAAAAAATGCCAGCACCGACAATGAAACAAAATTATATTCTTTCATTTGCTTGGTTAGCCACTAGAGTGCTTTTCTGTCTGAACTTCGAGTTTGTGCACCTCTTAACAATCTTTTAAAAAAAAAGATGTTGCATGGGAATTGTCTGACGCATGTCAGGTAACCTTCAAAAAGGTTGAGTTGTTACTTTATTCCAATTTTTTGCTGACACACTATAACTCATCCATGGATATTGTGATAGGCTCTGATGTATGGTATTGGAACTGTCATTTCTCATATTTTCTCTGATTGTAGCCAAAAGGCAACACAACTCGTGCATCCAGATCACTGACACTAGCAGAGCATAATTATAGCCAAATTGAAAAACAAGCATTACCAATTGTCTTTGCCATTAAAAACTTCCACAAAATTCTGTATGGACGTCATTTCACACTGATCACAGATCACAAGCCTCTTTTTAGTATTTTTGGATCTAAAAAAGGCATCCCAGTGTATACAGCAAACCTTCTGCAAAGATGCTGTACTATGCTGTTAGATTATAATTTTTTTTATAAAATATAATTCAACTAATACAATTGGTCATGCCGATGCATTATCTATACTCATGACTACACAAAATAAAGTACGAGAAGACTCGGTAATCACAGCATTATTTCTAGAGCCAGGAGTCACTTCAGTGTTTTCATCCACTGTAAATGCTCTTACAGTATTCAGTTTGTGTTTAACCTGCAAACCAATTACAACCATCCAGACCTTCCAGAGACCAAATTAAACTTCACTTTACCACTGGACATCTTCAAACTGCCTCAATACATTTTCCAAGTAATGCCAAGGGACAAAGATAGGACTCCAGCAAAAAGTGCACCAAGGTATTCCCATTGACTACAAAGTAAGCCATACCCACTGCAATTAAATCCCTGGCAAAAGTTATACGAACACAAGGCTGAAAAAGGGAGGTGTTAGGGGACATTACATTCTCTCTCCACCCCCAAATAAAAGACAATAATTCAAAATACAATTGAGTTTGTCTCTTGTCCACTAGTGGGAATGCTGCATTTCTGAATTCAATATAGTACCCATATAAAAAAAAAACATAAAAAGTAATGTATATGTGTGTATGTGTATTCATATTTTTATGTATAGTCATTTATGTGATTGTCTTGCCTACATGATTTATAATCTGAAATTTTTAATGAATTTATATATTTTTTATATTTTACCATTATTAATACTATTATCTTTATTACTTTTATCCTTATCTAGTTTTTATATTCTAAATTTGTTCTTTATAATTTTCTCTTTGTTGATTTATTTATTTTGTATTATTTTATTTAAATTGGATATTATTATTATTAGTTTACAATTGTAATGATGATTGCTGTCTAAAATGACATGACTCTATTAGACATTTTGTTGTGACTCTTAATTCTGATTACTTTCTCCCTTACACAGTATACAGTGTAACCCGGATATAAGAGAGTTGTCGGGACCAGAGAAGAAGTCTCTTATATCTGGGTTTGGTCTATTTTATATACATTAACACAGGCTCTAATTTGGGACCAGAGAAAATCTCTCTTATATCCGGGTTTCTCTTATATCCGGGTTACACTGTATTAATTTGTTCAGCCCTTTAAGGAAAAATTTTCTATAAGTCATTCTATTTTGTTTTTGCTATTGGTTCATCATTTATTTCTTCTTTTTTTTTTTTTTTTCTTTTTTTCTCTCTCTCTCCCTCTTGTATTTGAAATTTTTATTTGTTTTTTGTTGTATTTTTTATTAATTTTTTTTCTTTTTCTTTTCTGCCCCCCCCCTCTTTTTATCTGTTTGAATGGACCGATTCCATTTCTAAAAAAAAAAAAACTTTCAGTCTGAAAAGAGGAATATAAAAATATTCATGAAATATAACAAATATGGATTTTTAAGGTGTTTTCTTAATTTATCATTATATGAGAGAGATACAATTTATATCTTTTGATTTAGTAATGATAATAAAATATCTATGATAGCTTCCTTTTCATGGGGTTTCATCTGCTTTTTTGAAGTTTATAACATTCCACATAGCACTTTGCTCCTTGTTAATTATTAAACTGTTATTTTAAAATATTATTCCAAAGTATTTGATTTCTGTCTAGAAATATATTAGAGGAAGTGTTTGTATGAAGTGTTTGATACAAAAGAGGGGGAAAACAAGTCTCCTCTCCATAGAGCAGGTGTCTTTTTAAAGAAGCTATAGAGTACTTTCCCCTTTAAGGGAAAGAAACAATTATATGCCAAGATTTATGTTAAGAACAAATTTTGTATCCATTGTACAACATTTAATTAGCAATACATTTTATTATTAGTTATTTTTGGCAATCTTTTACTGTGCCTAATTTAAACTTCATAGATATGTATATATTGGATATATATATATATATATATATATATATATATATATATATATATATATATATAAATAAAAATAGTCAAGATATGCTACATTTATGGGTAAAAGTGCTCAGTATCATGAACAGAGTCTATGTAAATATAAAAGTGGACACTGAGATCAACACCGAGCAGTGCAAGTCTGTTTTATGCAATCTGCAGGCCATGTGTGTTATATTTGTAATTTTTTATTCTTTCTTCCTTTTTTATTATTAATATTTTTTCTCCCCCTCTCTTTTTCCCCATTCTCCTGGTATATCTGTCTGGATGGATTGATTCTATTTTGAAAAAAACTTTCTTTCTGAAGAGATGAATATAAAAATATTCATTAAATAAATTATAACAAATATGGATTTTTAAGGTTTTTTGTGATTTATTATTAGATTTATTATTAGATTGCTCTGTAACTTACATAGAGCTCTCTTTGGATTAATGTCCTCCTTGGAATTATCCCTAACAATTACGAATCGGTATTATTTATTTTTATATATATATATATATATATATATATATATATATATATATGTGTGTGTGTATGTATGTATATGAACAGTTTGCTACAATTATCTTAAGAAACTGAATGCAAAAATCAAATGGTAATAAAATCCTGCAATTAGCCTTTCAGTCACATGATAAAGCAAATGAATAATTGAATTTTTTTTTTTTTTTTTTTTGACAGGGTGATTCTCTGTCTGGTTTGCCATCAGACTTCTGTGATAATTCTAATGAGAGCACCATATGCTCCCAGCCCAATCTGTGTGTCTTAGAACGAGTTGCTCCTTCAGCAACTGACTCGAACATACTACATGAACCCTCATCAACCATGTTGCCTACTGATACAGAAATGGTAAGAATATCTTACACCTTTTACTCTGGTATTTAAAAGTTTAGAAGTAATAAAAAATATATATATCTACAGTTTTTAAACATCCAGTGGTTATTTATCGTTGGCTATGTTGGATTTTACAAGTATTTATTTGACCAGTGTTCAGATCTTTGAACAAGCTGGAATTGAGGGAGTTGAAAAGAACAAAAGGTGTAGAATACTTGAAATCTATCAAGAAATCACCAAGGCAAACTCCTCTCAGTAAACCAAATATTTTAAAATGTTAAGATTAGAAAAGTCAGTTTTCATGTATTTCTTGGCCTAAAGTAATTTTCATGGACGAATCTCTGATGATACTCTATAGACATGACAGATTAATTCTATCCCGTGTGGATATGCCTGTGGCTAATAGAAGACAGGAAGAAGGTGTCGGTGTGATGATATAGGCTTAAGTGTCCGACCTAACACTTCCTTATTTATAGGCTACTGTCAAGATAATGAAGTTGTCCTTTTTCATGTGGGGAGAAATAAATGTAGCCTATAAATAAAGAAATGTTAAGTCAGACAGTTTTAACCCTAGAACACTAACCATGGGTATATAGTACCCAGCGCAAATTTTCCTACTTTTAATTACGATTTTCAGTACCTGATTTTCTTACCTAAATGTTTTTTCAGTTCCTATTAATGTTAACTCAAAGTACAAAGTTTGAAGTGCCTGCATGTAAAATATTTCAAATAAAGATTTATATTTAATATTTTTTTTTTTTTTTTTTTTTTTCATATTTTCAAATTCGGGTATGATATACCCATTGTTAATAGTGGTGTAATTTTAATTGATGGTTAGTGTTCTAGGGTTAATTTGTACCTGATAATTGCTACAGGCTTAAAACATTGAGTGATGAGGAACAAATGGGCATCTATTCTTGGTATAAATATTAGCTCTGTTCTTTTACATTGAGCACTGTTTTATTATAACTACCAGTACTTACTGTGCACTAGTTATATTATGTATTCACATACATGCTTTGTTTTATATGTGCGAATTACTATATTACTATTTGCTGAATTGTCATGTTAGTTCAAGGTTTCATTTAATATGAAGCAATTTGATTAGCAAATTGTGTTTACCTCCCTTGATAACAAATTGCTGGGAAGTGAACATCAAGAAAGAATTCTTATTTTTAAGTATTTATATTTATTTAGATTTAAAAAAAATAAATAAAAAACCTAAGAGAATGCTGGAAAGTTCTTGGGTGGACCCAGTTCCTAAATTTTTCTGCACCACCCTGTCTAAAGAGCCTTGACTTAGAAAATTGTAAGAATAAAAAAGTAAAAAATAACCAAAGCATGAAAAATTCAAGTAATTTAAAACTGTTCCAAGTCCAAAGAATATAGAGCAAAGACTGTGACTATATAATTGTTGATTTATATATTGTGATAGGCTTCAATAGCTGAATTGCTTTCACAAATATCATATTTTGTCTTAATGCTTTATTCAGAGATGGTGGTAGTTCGAATTCCTTTTTCTTTTAAAATCTGAATTGACAGGTTTTCTTGGGGTAGATAGGGGAGTGGTTTCTTGTGGCCTTTTCTATGATTTAACTTTCAGAGTAGTCCTTATCCAGACTGGCTGCCATAGATAACCTAGTCTTCCCATAGGTGTGTGTGTTGGGAGGGGAGATGAACTGATAACTTTCCCAAGGGCATTAGTGTAAAATTGAACACAATCTAGGACAGAATTTAACTCGGCTTGCTCTGATAACCATTACACTACCTTTTCATCTAAACAAATGCACACTTTAAGTAGTTCCTGTCAAACTGCAAATGGCAACACATCTCGTCTAAAGAATTTTGACCGATATAACATTTGGATGAGGATTGTCAATAAAAGAACTATAGAGAATATCTGCAAAAAGAGTCTTCATCCCTGAAATTTTAAAAGTAACTTTCTGAGAGTAAAATCCTATTATAAATGTTTTGATCATCTCTTTTGGTATTTCTAAGCTTTCTCTTGTTTACCATTCTTCAGCCTGTGTCTGCAAGTGGCACCAGTGAGGAGACAGCCTCTTTGACTGCTGAACAAATTCTAAATTCCTTGTGTATACAACAACCGACCATGCTTGATGCCAATCAACCCAACAGCATTGCTGATAACAACACAGCAGCATTAAATTTGACTGGTAAGTAAACAAATGTGTATCATCTTGTTTTGTTTTGTTTTTTTTCTCTTTATTACATGTTCTTCATTCCTCAACTGATTAAATGCTTTTTGTTTAGCTTAGTCTGGCATAGTGACATCAAATTAGACTTTTGTTCAAAATGGAGAATATCTACTGCACTGGCCTAGCAGGAAAAATTAGGATTAAATAATCAATCTTTTAACTAGACTTGAACCACTAGAAAATATAGTTTTTTATTTATTTATTTATATAATCATTTCACACACCCCACCTAAGTAAGGCAATAATGCCACTAGGATGCAGGGGTTGAAAGAGTGAGACTTTAGTGCAGAGAACAGGATTCAAGATGGTAATTGATGTTGCATTTAAATTTTTGAAGATTCTAGGTGGCAGGGAAGGAAGAAATTGGATGGGAGTTTCACAGGTGAGAAAAGAAACTGTTCGAATAGAAGATGACTATTAACTGAAGTTTGATCTGAAATTTTCACTGTATAATGTTCACCAAGTCTGTTAACTTGACGAAGGAAGAGATATTTTTTTTTGTGAATGTATGGCGGTAATGACCTACCAACCTCTATATATGCTCTCTTTCTGATATTGAGCACTTTTTACCAATGCATATAGGCATATAGCATACCTTAAAACCATGTTTATCACCTTTTATATATATATATATATATATATATATATATATATATATATATATATATATATATATATATAAAAGTTTCATTGAAAATGACTAACAAGATGTGGTGGTTGAGTTTTTTATGTAATTTCTCATATGATCGTATAATTTTTTTTTTCTTTTCAGGACATAAATTTTATAAAAACTGTCCAAATGTTTGTCAGTTATTTTCTACAAAACTTGCATAAAAGAGGGATTGCTGTCCAAATACACACACACACACACTCTGGTCTTATATATATATATATATATATATATATATATATACACACACACACACACACAGTTTTATATATATTGTGGTTGTGAGTTTGTGTGTTTTTCTTTTTCCCCATCTCACTTCTGTTTTTTTTTTTTTTTTTTTTTTTTTTTAATTTTGTCTTTGACAGGTCTTGGTGTTCAAGAAATTGTTCAGCTGTCAAATGCTGTTGATGTGCCTGACAACACACCATTAACTATGCATCCTTACATCATCTCTGCGGCCGTTTCCAGTCCAAGTGTGCCTTTGCTGACTAGTAATTCTTCCTCGCATGTCCTGCAATCACAGCCTTCTACTTCTGCTGACAAAATAGGAGTCCACCTTTCACATATTGCATCGACACCTTTGCAAGCAGCCTCCGTCTCCATGGAAACATCTGACCAACAGAATGCTGCTTCCTCCCTCTCTTCGTCACCAATGGTTGCCTCTTCTGTTCCTCTAGCTGCTGATGCCAGTTGTGCATCTTCATCAACCCTAATACCACCGGCTTCCCTGCCTGCTGTTGCTCTGTCCATTCCGGATACAAATACCCACTGTCATGAAAATCCAAATGCCAGTACCACCCATAGCAGAGCAGAAAACAAGATGGAGGTGGTTGCCACACTTTTGCCATCAACCCGAGTGGTCCCAGCTGCAGCAGCAGGCTCCATCTTACCTACACTCTCATTGACTGACTGTACTGTAGGACTGGTCAGAGGCCTTGAATCAGACATGACCACTGCTACAGTCTTGCCTGTGATAATGGCACCTTCTTTGCTGGCAGAGTCTAGCCAAAATGCTAATGAAGCTGGTATAGCAAGTGGGGTCCCAGAAGCAGTTCCCAACAGATGCTGCCCTGGTGGTGATGGGGGAAGTGCCGAGTCTCACCATCCCAACCCTGCTAAAGATTGTCTGCCAGTGGATGATGTGACAAACAGGGTTACACACCCTAGTGCTGCTGAGCAAGCTGCAACCAAAGACCTAGCTGGTGTGGGGTCTGCATCCCAGCCAGTTGAGGTTGTCCCAACCCTTTTGCTGCCGACGTCAACTCTACAGAATAGCAGCCTGCAGGCAAATGTGAATGTCGATCTTTCCAACAAACTATTAAACAGTAATTTAAACACAATCTGTTGCATCCAGCCTTTTAATAGTGTTGGAATGACATGCTCAGAAGCAAGCCGTGGAACGTTTATACATTGTATTCCCATCAGCCAAAATCCCATTTCAACAGATCCAAGCCCCACCCGAGTTTCCAGTCCCCTGTTCACATCAGTTCAGCAACATTAGTACAAGTGTTAGGACAGCATTTTTTGTTTTTTTTAGTTAACTTAATGGAGAATGTTGTCTTTTTTTTTTTTTTTTTTTTTTTTTTGTGTGTTTTCAAGGGTGCAAAGAAAGATAATTTAAATTTAAAAAGTTTGAGATTTGAAATTTTTTTTTTTTTTTTTTTTTTTATTGAGTTTGATTAAATATTTAAACTGAAAATTTGAAATTTTCATCTGAAATAACCAGCCTGGAAGCAGTCAGAATTTAGATTTAAATTTAAAAAAAAAAAAAAAAAAAGTTGTGGAGGGTAGATTGGATAAGAAAAAGAAAAAGGCCAAGATTGAATGTTAGAAAATGTGTGTATATATATATATATATATATATATATATATATATATATATATAATAAATAAAATATTCGATACTATGTTCAAGTGAAACCTGTTGTGAGCAAATATATATTGTGATTAAGGTATAATATTTATTCAATATATATCTTGAAAATAAATAGATAAATACATACACACACACACACACACACACACATATACATTTTAAAATTATGTATATACATACACACACTGGAACCTCGGTTTATGAATTTAATACGTTCTTGAAGCCTATTTGTAACCTGAAATATTTGTTAACTGAAACTATTTTTCCAATAGGAATCACTGTAAAATGGATTAATATGTTCCTAGCCCAAGATGATTACTTATTTAAACTTTAACAACAGTAATTTGTGCACAAGTTTATACACAAAACTAATGAAAATCATTAAATCTAAGAAAAGAAATAATAAACACAATACTAAATAGATCAAATATAGATGAACATTTTCATTTTATTGTACCTGTATGTAAGAGAGTTGATGGTGTGAAAGGGGACGGAAAGAGATGTTATTGTTTGTCTCTTTATTTATAAGAATAGTATAGATCATTGATTTTGCCATATGGAACTGAGTAGGAAGAGACCAATATCATTAACAATTGTTTTTCTTTTTCCTTCACCAGAATCACTGCTAGCTTTCTTTGAAACCATGACTGAGGATTAATCAAGATAAAAAAAATAAAAAGGTACAGTACATTAAAATTGGAAAACAAAAGCACAACACACACATGTATACAACATGGCAGTTGACTAAGAAATGATTCCGTTCAGGTTAACTCGGTTCAGCAGTGTTGTTCAAGAACGCATTCATTTTCATCATGAATGTTCTGTTTAAACACCAATTTGTTCAACGTGTGAGATGTTCAAGAACTGAGATTGCACTCTCTTTCTTTATATATATATATATATATATATATAGGAACAGTCCATACTCTTGTCCAAATATGGATATCTTGGGCGCCTACTGTAGTTAATATGCTACTCTTATAGAACTAGTGAGTTTGTTTTTCACTGTGTACTCCTCCCCACTCCCTGCCAGTATTGTGGCCTTGTGCCAAACTAAGCATAGCAAATATCTACAAGTGGGGGTGGGGGTCTCACTGCAGGTATCAGTGATAGTAGCCTGACCTAAAATAGTTTTTCTTTTAAAAATCAGTAAATTTTTCAAAATTTTTTTTGTTTTCTCCTTTATTTAAATCCTCTTTTGTTATTTATCCTTAATTTATATTTATCTTTTAATGTTTCACTTTGTGGAAATTTTATTTATTCAAGAATTTATTTTTTTTAATATAAGCCAAAGAAAATATATCAAAGAAAACATTTTGTTATTTAAAAAAAAAAAAAAAACAATGCAAAAAAAAAAAAAGCAACTAACTTTATTAGTTTGTTCAAATCTAAAGAGTTTTTGAAGGCATGAAACAGATAAAATATTTTGCATTATATATATATATATATATATATATATATATATATATTCAAATGTTAATTTTAGTGGATACCCATTTTTGAGTAAATGCCACATTTTTTTTAAACAATATGTATTACCGCTAATGGTCTGCACACTCAAGAAAAATTAGAGAAAATCTGCTCTCTGGCAGGGTTCAAACCTACATCCCCTTTAGTGCACAGGACGGTAGATGTAATACAGTTTTAAAAAAAAGCAAAAAAAAAAAACACGGTCTCTAAGTCAAAAATGGGTATCTACTAAAAATAATTTATGAATAAAAATGTCAGATCCAATTATTCTCTAGAATATATATAAGATATGTTTAACCAGGTTGCTTTTAAAAAATACAAATGCACAATTATACCTCTGTCTTAAGGCTTCATGCCTTCATTTGTATCCTCATGATGAATTATTTTCATTCTGTGTAGATGTCTCTTGAACCTCATGCAACCTGATTGGCAATAATTAATCATGTGAGGTCCAAGGGATTTAATAAGATATTTTGATATTTACCATTAGCCAATTTAATTTTTTTTCTGCTAGAATGTGCCTAGTTAAATTCACAGCAGGCTGCAAAATTTTACTAAAAATCTCCCTAGTACTTAAACTATTAAGCCACTAGTAAACCGTAATGATCCTTGGATCCTTGGTGTCCAACTGGCCCAGAAATAATAATAATACCTGCTAAGAAGTTATTTAATTTCTGTTTTAATGTTCACAGCTGAGATGAATTGTTAAATGTTTCCATATTTTTCAGTTTTTGCCAATTTCTTTTGAATGTCCACATTCCAATCATGGTGACATGAATATGTTATATAAAGAATTTAAACACTGAATTTGTTTTAGATAAGCTTTTGCAACATTTGTGAAAATAAATCTACAATGATATCAGTTTCAGTTATACAAATCATGACACTTAAAATGTGATATTTTACCATGGCACAAGATCAACTTATTGTGGGTATCAAGGCAGTAAACAAGTTAAGGTACTCTTAGATTTCTCTCTCTTAGACACTGGGGAACTGTCATTCAAGCAGTATCTCTGACGTATTGTGTTGGAAAGCCCACATTAACAGAATGACCTTGTGTTGTGCTTGGAGAAATGCCCACATTGTAAACGGGTTTTTCTCTCATGAGGAATGTAAATAAATTATAGAATTTTATTGCTTGTTCCTTTGAGTTGATATTAATGATTAAAAAAAAATTAATTTGAGCCTGTGACTTTGTTTAGGAATGGCTTCATTCGAAAACCTTGTTTTTCTTGATATGTTCTGTCACATATTTGCGTGTGTGTTTGCTACTCCCCCCCTCCTCTCTGCCCCAGAGTAGATGACCATTCCTGGTAATCCATTTTTTTTTATTTTATATATATATATATATATATATATATATATATATATATATATAAAATCTAGTTTCCACTAGAGTGTAAAATTACATCAACAAATTATTCAGGCAGGTACCATTGTCTTTGTTGCTGTTTTCCCCACAAAATTTTGGCTTCCTTGCATGTTGCCCAATACAATTTTTAAACCCAAGAATCTGGATAATTCATGGAATAAAACGACAGAAATATTACACGAAAAAAAACCCTCAAATAATAAAATGTTTCTGTTGACTTTATTATAAAAGCTAATCAGTCTGTCCTTATTCTCAACATTCACACAATGCCATTTCAGTTCTTAGTATTTTGCTTTTCCTATTCAGTACAAAACAATAGTCTTTTCAATTCAATATATAACAAACAAAATCAATCCCTGGCAAGACATAAAAATAATGTAGAGAATCCTTAATATTTAGATTTTATATTTAATTAAAAGATTATTCAAATTTTGGTCTCATTACTGCTAAACTGAACATCTTACTAGAACATTAATGTCATTAAAAACAGTTGTCTTTTTCCCATCTGAGAGCAGAAGGGAGTTAAAATCCATGCCACCTTCATAAATAAATGTCATAGTGAACTTCTTTGCATCTTTTGTTTGGATCACATGTTTAGTCATGTAGAATTACTTTATTTTTAACAATGGCCATTACTTATGACCTGCTAAAAGTCGACTGACCGATTTCTTGTAACTTGATCATAAACACCTGTGATTCTTCTCAATGACATTTTATTAAATTTTTAAATAAAGTAGAAATTCCTCTAATAATTTTTTTTATATTGCCAATCTATGGAATATTCTGATATTTCAAAAATGAGTCCCTTAAAAAGATGGCTTAGAAACTATGAGAACATTCCTGCCAACCAAATAATTTAAAATTGTGTGTCTATCCACACGAGCCAATTATTAATTTATGCTGAGCTTGCCGAGAGGCACAAACTCGTAATGCAAGCACATTGTCTTATCTTTTGTGGAAAACTGCCAGCAGCAGCAACAGCAACAACAACAACAACAAGGAAGAGTAAACTAGAAGGGGAGGTAATGATATATTGAAGATGTTAAGTTTCTACATGACCTTAAATGAAAGATTAAGAAAAAAAAACTATCACTACCAGAAAGAACTATAACAGTTAGTGAATTAAAGAACTTTAATTTCCTGAAAAACTTTTTAAGGGAAAGATTTTATTGAATTCAGCCGACAATAATGCTGAATGTTGAAGGTTTTCTGTATGGAAATGCTTAATCTCCTCATTACAATTAAAAAATGTTTGTCAGGTTTTCAAGAAAATTCTACTCCCTTATTATAGACTGAATTACTTTTCAGTGGTTTAACATTCTCTTAAATCTTTACTCAGATTGCCATTGCATTTTTTTTTTTTTTTTTTTTTTGGATTGTGTTGTCCCAAAATGTACTGTGTTGCTTTACGTGAATATTTCACTAAATATTTGATCTTCTCTTCTGGATGCAATTACTTATCTCTCTAGATACATAAATCCACTAAGTGGTCAGTGTTAAAGCCAAGCTGAAACTACAGATTTCCAAATGTTTTAAGATGGTCTTGCCCTTGCTGGTGCAACACAATCTTCTCATTTGCATATGAGTAAGATTAGCTTGATCTTAGTAAATAGCTATGGGAGATATTTATACTTATGTCTTTTTCTTTTAAAAATCTAATTTTTGGAAAGAAAGAATTTTTTTTTTTTTTTTTTTTTTTTATGAGAGAATTGCAAATGACAATACATAGAATTGTAGTTTTCTATGTAGCTAACTGAAGCATTTTTTTTAAATGTTTCTCTCA